GGAGAGCAGGCCGGGGGGGGGGGGGGGGGGGGGGGGGGGGGGGCAACTACAACTATAGCAGTAGAAGGAGCAGCAGCAGCTTCAGCAGCAAAGAGTAGCCACAGGAGAGAGTCGAAGCCGAAAGTGTTCTGAACACGAAATGTTTTATATAAATAGTTATCCATAGTTATAGAATTTTAAAAGTTTTACAAAGCTATTAGCATTTTAATGTGTACGTTTTTAAACAAACACAACAAAAAGAAAACCAAACACACCCCACCCAAACCCCGCCTCCATGCCCACACACTTGACGGAACCTCAGAAGGGTTTTTAAATGTAATTTTTAAATGTAAAATGTGCATGTAACCGCCTCTTGTCCCCCCAAAAACCTCCTCAGAATATTACTTAACAAATTCTCAATATATTGTGTTATATTTTAGCTAACTTTGTTAAATATTCTTAAGCTTGCGCGTCATAAAATAATAATAGCTATACAAATTTATATATTCTATTTTTTTTGTGTAATTAATGGCATAGTGTATTTTAATGACTAAATGTAGGAATGTACATACATATAAAATACAGAATTAATCAATTAAGCCTAAGCTTTAAACAAGTGCAACAATCCTATATATAAAAAAGAATATAAAATATTTGCTTATCAAAATTAATTAAAAATTGTGCACTTTATGCCTGTGTCTGTGACAGAAGGATGGATGGATCTCTCACTAAGATTCATTTAGAGGCAACAACTAAAATATAAAATAATAATAAAAACCATGTGCACATATAGTTTCTAAGGGATGTTATTTGTCAATTAATGCTGAAACAAGGCCGCCATCTTAAGTCAATATTAAAAGAAACACACACAGACACACAGAGAAAGAAAACGAATAAAATAATATTATATATATACACATAAATGTATATGCAATCTATTGTACTATATTTAAAGAAAAATCAAAATCGAAACCACATATTCTGATCAATATACAAGCAGGTAATACATGTATGTACATATGTATGTCTAGGCACCACCAAACACCACCACACCCACTGGCACAATAGCTTATTATGGATGTTAACTAAACGGATATTTCCTAAATAAATCAAATTTTCGTATGTGTTTAAAACTCCTTCAAGTTTTCTTAAAGATCAACTTAATATATATGTTTTGATTTGAAATCAAACATTGCATGGCATTGCTTATATGTTGCATTTATCTTTACAAAGACAATTAAGTAAGGCGACTACTTGAGGTTATGGCAGCTATTTGATCTTAACAACTCAAAGACTAATTATTTCATTAGTATTTATATTTTTACAAGCGTAGATCTAGATAAATCCCAAGTTAATCCCAGTGTGAACTCAAATACCATTCGGCTATATGACTGGCATCCATTCGGTATGTGCTGTTCAGGAATAGATGGACAGACACCAAGTAAAAGATTGTTTAAAAAAGTGTCCTATGCCTTTATTCATTATTTGTTAATTATGCTTTTAGAGCGGCCTGCAGAGAGGCATTCAAATATCTAAGTTTGATTTACTCAAGCGAGTAAGAAACTGCTAAAAATATTTCTTGCAATTTTGCACAATTAATTGTGTGAATGAAACCAAATCTGAAACTCTACCAATTTTGATCGAGGTCCTCGTGCACAAGACTGAAAGAGAGCGCATCAAGCAGCGTGCTATCTATCTTCCTGTTGCAAACATAAAGGATCGATCAGGAAGCATCGAAGCATTAACTGTGAAATTAAATAGCGAGAGAGAGAACAAATCTGCTGCTGGCTTTCTTTGTTGTGGCTTCAAGCCAAATTAGAAAACGAATTCAACTAGCGAAAAGACCAAACAGTGTGCCATGAAATATATATTTGTATTTATTTATTTTTCTATTTGTATGTACAAATATTGCTTCAAAATTAAAAATTACTTACATATGTATGGATAAAATATGTGGGCATAAAACAGCCAACAAAAATGCAAGCATTAAATCGTACAAATTCCACAAAAGGAAGGATGCATCGACTTATCCCTCTACAAAATTGCACCAAAAATATGCATATACTTCCTGCTGCTTATCCCCGGACCTAGATGATTTCTTATTGCTAACTTTAATGCTGTTGTTATATATAATCTATTTGTCTTCGTTTGCAATCCGTAAGTCTTTAGCCAATTGTCCAAGCATTTCAAACATAAAACTTCAGTTAAGATATACATTATGAGGGACATTTCTACTTAATTGCTAACTGTAAAACATCTAATTCTACTCTAGCTTAAATATCAAAATATTACCTTTTCGATCCTTTAATTCAAATCCAGAGTTCGGGTGCCGGGTGCCCGTGGTCGTATCAGAAGAATGGCTTATGGCTGATGCTACGCCTCTCCGTATGCTAGGAGCTCTCGGCATTTTTCTTCTTGAGAGTCTCCATGACCCCAGCAAAGTCGGCCGTCTTCTTTTTGGCTGATTTCGGTGTGGATGTTTGGCTGCGTACCCGCATCTGTGTGGGCGCCACATCGTCGCTGAAGTCAAAGTCATTCGCCTTCTGTGGCCTGTGAAAGGATGTAAACCATGTCATATATAGAAGGGCTAACAACTGTTACTCTTACTCCTGCTCAATGGCATCGGTGGCCTGCTCCAGCTCCTTGCTATTCCCACCAGAGCTGGCATCCGGTGAGGGTGCCCGCCGGCCGGGGAATTGCCACTGCAACTCCGGTATATTACCAGCCTCGAGCATTAGATAGTAGCTCTCCAATTCCTCGGCATTTGCGGAGAACTTGTCTGCTGTCGTGGCTGGCTCTACGTCTGTTGCCATTATTTATTTGTTTTTATTTCTATTTCCAAGCAATGTCACGATAAACTAAACCCTAAGAAATCCTAATATACCGAAATATACCTTTTCATTTTCAAAATATACCGCATATCATATAACATTTTCATTTTTTTGAAATTCTCCTGAATATTATTAGCTAGTTTCGGTTCTCAGCGCTAAAACTATAGTTTTATCCGATTAATAAATCATTTCTGCATAAAATTGGCTAGTTTTTATGACTTCTTTTTAGTGGATTGTTTACAAGAAAGGTCTACCAAAAAAAAAAGCATAAAATGTTCGGATAGTCGGAACCAAATGTATGGTATGTTATGTGCATTTTAATACCCTATTTCCATCAGTTAATATTAAAACTCTGTTCTCCAAGCTGCTCTTAAACATTAATAATGACTTTATCTTAGACTGACACGTTTTTATTCTTTCCATATGTTTTCTATGTATCGATCTAGAATCTAGATCAATTCTCTTAATCTATTACCTGCGAAGTTTCGTTCTTGCATTCCTGAGACTTCCAACAATTTCCCAATTCGATGTTTTCCTTCCCCCAATGGGGAAAAGTTCTGCTCAAAAGAGAGAGAAAATACCCAACGGAAAAGAGAGAAAATCCTCGAGGGACATTTGAAAAACATGCGTATGTGTGTTTCGATATTATTTAATATACATTACCAATGGAATTTAATTTAATAATTAAATTAATATCCCTAGAATGTAGTATATAATTTTTGTCCACATCGGATTCGATAGCTTCTCGAAGCATCTCTGCGCAAGTGCTGGATACTGGCCGAAGTCATGCATGGAATGGAGCGCGTTATTTGAAGTGATGGATGGTTCCTCTGGTGTGCTGCTGTTCCTACTGCTGTTCCACAACATCGTTGGCCTGGTGCTTCAGCTCCAGCTCCTTGCCATTTGTATCAGCGCTCGTCACCGCGGGCGGCATTCTTCCAGCAGAATTGGCTTCTAGTGAGGTGTCCTGGTAGCCAGGACATTGCCAGTTTAACTCTAGTATGTAACCAGCCTCAAGAGTTACATAGTATTTCTCCAGTTCCTCAGCATTTGATGGTTTTGCCATAGCCGGTTCTTTTGCCATTTTAATTATAATTTAATAGTTTGCCTTTTTCTTGGGTATTTTTTTTTGCTATGTGTACGCCGGGTTTCGATAGCTTTTGGCAGCAACTCTGCGCCAATTTTTGCTGGTTGCACTGGCCGATGTGCTGTCTGAAGCGCGCAATTTGAACTGCGATTATGAAATGCTTGGTGGTGCAGAAGAAAACACAAAATAGCAATGTGTATGAACCGCTAGACCGTCTAGTAAATATATAACGATTGGAATACGAGCATTAACGAGCATTCTGATACGCAAAAAGTGTGCGCCAAGCTGTAATGTTTATCCAATAAACAAAAGACAGGCCGCTGGAAAGTTGATCCAAACTCTCAGATGACATTCTCCGATGTGGGGCCCGATTCAAATGAAAGCTGTAACACATTGGGTTTTATTTTGGTTTTACTTTTATTTATTTACTTTTGTGATTACTAAATTCTTAGAACTTTATTCAAAATCTTGTCCCCCACGCATGCATCCTACTATTCTATCATTATCCAATATCCAATTTCCAAATCCAATGTCCTCGTTGTCTCTCGCTCCAATTGATATCCTGGATTCTGAGGAGCGATGGCCAGAGGTGTACGATTACCGGATACGTCCTCTCTCTCTCTCTCTCTCTCTGTGTCTCACTCACGTTCTTTCGCTCGTTCTCTCTCGCTCGCTCTCAGCTGGCAGCTTGCATCTTGCATCCTGCATCTTGCACTTTTCGTTCTATATAGCTTACAGATACATACATATACATAAGTATTATTATTAATATTGTTGTTGCTGTTGGTTGTTTGTGTTTGTTGTTGTTTGTTTTTGTTTTTGTTTTTGTATACTCGTATATAAAAAAGAATAATTATACATATTCATTAATAATAAATCCATAATAATTAAAAACACACAATTTGATTGCAAGAAAGAATTTCTACAATACGTAATTAAATACGGATACATCCTGATCGTTGGTATTGCCACCCCCACCCCCGCCTCCGCCTCCACCACCGCCGCCACCTCCTCCTCCTCCACCACGATTCGAGGAACCCGAAGATTTATTGGAACCATGGGCGGCAATGGTTAGCTGATTGGTCTGATGTATAACCGATGTGATGTCGCTTTGCGATGCAGATATATCCTTGCTGGTGAGCACATCCGAACTGCTCGAGCCGGACGAGATGTGACGCTCGGTGATGCCGTACTGTATCGGCTGATAGCCGTGACTGGGATTGTACGTGGCCGAGTATGGCATGTATATGGGGGGATTCGGCAGCGGCCCAATATCGCTGGTGATGCTCTCCGTGTCCGCATGGCTGAGCGCATGCTGGCCGTGCGTATGCTGCTGCTGCTGCTGGTGCGGATTGAGGGAGCGCAGATTGGGATTGCGCTCATCGTTCACCACATAATAGCACTGCTCGGAGAAGGTCAGCTTGTTGACCGTGTGCTTGATGTAATTGTTGCGCAGCATCGCCGACACTATGCGTCGCGCCTCCCTTCGGTCCTGCACATCCTCGACATTCTCCAGCACCCAGTTGACAGCGTCGGCACCAATGAATGCATTCGGTATGGTTATCTTTAGCCACATGCGATCACGTATCTCCAGGCCGCTGTCGGGCTTCGTCATGGCCTTGACTATCTCCTCGAGATTGTTCTGGTCGAGCCGCTCCTTGATGGGCTCCGGTATGTCGGCAATAATACTGTCATGCGAGGTTAGCGCCTGGGTGTGTGCCACCCAGGCACCGGGATCTATCGGCCGCACCGGCTCCGTGCGCGGTATGGTGAAGTAGCCCTTGGGATTCGGGTCCCAGCACTTGGCCACCACCAGCTTGATGGGCCCCGGCTTCTGCACAACCTCGCGCAGCACACGCACCGCCTCGTCGTTGGTCATGTTCTCGAAATTCACATCGTTCACCTGCAGTATCATGTCGCCCGGCTCGATGCGGCCATCCAATGCAACGGCCCCGCCCTTCATGATGCTGCCCACATAGATGCCGCCGTCGCCGCCGCGATTCGACTGGCCAACAATCGAGATGCCCAGAAAGTTGACCGCCTCCATGTTGATCGAGACGGTGATGATGTTCAGGGACATGGTCGAGTCGGTGATCGAGCTGTATGAGGAGGTGCGCGACATGCTGGGCGCCCGCTTTTTGCGCCGCTGCGGCTTCTTGCGCACCTGCAGACGCTGCACGCTGCTGTAGTCGGTCATGTCGCGGTCCAGCGTCAGCTCCGACTCGGTGCCAAAGAGGCTGGTCGAGTCGAGATCGCTCGACAGCACCGACGCCGATTGATATGTGAGCGGTGGCGGCTGCAGCATCTGATTGTTGATTAGACCGCCGCCGGACAGCTTCTGTTGCTGCTGCTGCTGCTGCAGGTGCTGCTGATGTTGTTGGTGCTGCTGCTGTTGCTGCTGATGCTGTTGGTGCTGCTGCTGTTGCTGCTGCTGCTGCTGCAGGGCAAGGTGTGTGCGTACATTGGCCCGGCCGAGGCCAACCATTTCGCATTCGCTGGTGGGCAGCTCGGAGCAGTTGTCCGACTGGTTGGTGCCATCGGCCGAGACCAGCCAGGAGACGACGCGGCCGTTGAAGCAAGGCAAGATGGTGGCATCGTCGGCTATCTCCTCCTTGACGACACCAAAGTCGGCGTCCATTGACTTGAAGAAATACTTGTAGTTGTTGTTCTGTTTGTTGAGCACCAGCTTGAAGTCCTTGAGGGTTACCTGCGACGAGGGTATGGGTATCTTTACCAAATAGGGGGTGGTCTCATCGTCAATATGATAAATGACTTTCGTCTCCTGTCCATTTGGTCTATCTGTATCCATTGCGGCTGCCTGTTGTTGCTACTATTGTTGCTATTGTTGTTGTTTTTACTGAACTGCAGCAGCCTGCCTGGCTTTAATCGCGTCTCGCGTTTCTCCCTCTCTCTCTCTCTCACTCTTAATAAATTTGTGCGATTTATTTTGCCGTTTTTTGCAGGCGATGATTCTGCCGCTACCGCTGCCCGCTGATATTATTTATGCCCTAAACACACTCTTTCCCCTTGCCTTTACACAAATTTGAATACTTTTTCATGTGTGCGTCGGTCGGCTCGGCACTTCTACTCCTCCTCAAAACTCCACACAACTCCAAAACTCCACACTCCACTCGCTGCTGCTGCTGTTGCTGCCCTCTCTGCCTCTGCCTCTGCTTGCTTTTTGGGTTGGGTGTCAATGGAACTGCAGCTCCTCCTCCATTTGAATAAAAAGCACAACAGCTTCGGCCTCAGCAATTGGCAAGGTGGCGTATTTGAATTTACTTTTTTTCGCTTATCATTGATGGCTCACAATTCGGGGGTTAGCAACAAAAGATTAACCGAATAATAACAAAAAACAGCTCAAAATTCACTTTTTGTCGTAGTTTTGTATGTAAAAAAAAGCATCGCCACCAGTGTGACCGCGGATTTATCGATCTAATATACCGTCTGACCCTCAAAATAATACCGAAATGTACCTTCTCACTTCCAAACTAATCCGATGAAAATTATATTCCTCAATGTTTATATTTCATTTAATATTACAAGCTTGTTGGGACTATCATTCCCATGACAATGATTGATCCAATTCATAAATCAATTTCCCTACAATATAGCTTCGTTTAGTACTATATTTAGTGAATTGTTAATCAAATAATTCTTGTACAAAGAAGTTTCATAAAATAATAAATTATGATAGAAGCATATAAATATCCTATTTGTCCAACAAGCTTTTAAGAGTAGGACTAAAACTTCCCGGCAATTGCCAAGAATAAAAGGGGTATGGGACAAGAGGCGAAACGGCCCAGAAAACGGCAACGCATGCGATATATCGTCATGGTCAACGCGATGCGATACGACCCCGCTGCCAATATAACGAACAGGGGCTGTCTGTAATTGAACAAGTCCTTGTTAAAAATTAGTTTGCAATTTTAAAGTCAAATTGATCCAATGGAACTACTCGTAAGTCTTAGCCAATCCCATAGAAAGTTGATTCATTTACCGGATACAATTATTTGGTCTAGAAATATTTTGTTTTGAAAAGAGATAGAAATTAAATTATTTTGAAATAAGACATTTTAGCTTAAAAATAATTCCGTGGCACTCCTCGAACACTCGAAAAATGCTGTTAAATTTATTCAGTTCAAGAAACTTTGAAGGAGTTTTAATGTTTTCATAAAAAATCGAATCATATTATATGCAAAATTACTTTTATATATTTGTACCCAGTGGACCCGATCCATTTGCTGATCGCTAATCGTGATATATAAAGAGTAATAAAATCTGTTTTCCGTTTTTTTCTTCACAAGATAAGAATACATGTTTGCAGATTTTCAGAAGCTCGAATCCCACCCAACCGTTTGAATGCAATTACATTTTAATATGATTTCTGTTTATTTATTTTCATTATTGGGAAGGAGGGGAAGGAGTTCGGTTCGTTCTCCATTTAAATGTACAGTTAATTAATTAATATATACGGGTTACATAAGATATACATACCTTCTACGCTTTACACAACTAATTCCCATCCAAAAGAATAGCAACATTTGGAAAAAAAAAACTCAAAAAATTATTTTACTTTCTTAAGTTTTGCTTGGATTATTGGTAAAAATATATAAGTCAAAGGATCCAAATGACGGGAGCTCTGAAGAGAAAATATATGCTTGTACAGGTCTGTTTGCGGGGTGGGGCGGCATTGGAGTTTGGTGTTTTAATATCGTATTTAGCAAGTAATTATTATTAAATATTAAAATGATACATATTTGAGTATGTAATCATGCATTGTCCGGAACCAGGGATTGCTAAAATTATAATAGTTAATCGTTATCGCGCCATCTTGTTGCAAGCTTCCAGGAGCGATTCCTTTTTCTTCCCATTGCGCTCGTCCACCTCTACCTTCGTGTGTTCTTCTGCATCGTCTTCTGCTTGGTTTCGCCTCTTAAGTCTAGAAATATGATTTTGTTTTGCTTATACCCTTTATGTATATGTGCATACATCCGATAAACGCATGTATAACGTAATGTGTGTGTGTGTGTGTGTGTGTGTGTGTGTGTTTGGGTGTGTGTTAGTGGCAAAAACACCAACCAGCTAATAATTATGCTAAAGCAACTATTAAAAACTAACGTAATCCAATCTCGACATGTATATAAAAAAAAACCCTTAATCAGAAGCCTACATTCATTTATACCGTGGGGTGGAGGATAGCTATATGCATATCCCTTCCTTTCTTCCTTCGTTCTTGCCAGCTCTGGGATGATCTCCTAATTCGTTCTGCCGTCGTTTTATAGTACATTTGATTGCATCACTGCAGCTTCCATGCTCTGCTGGGCCCCTACTTTGAGTTGACCATCTCCACGAGTTGACTGTTCAGATCGAGCGTGTCCACAATGTCCAGCAGTATTTCGACATCCTTCATGCAGGCCACCGTCTCGGGGGCACCCATCAGATTGACATGCTTACCATCGATGTTCGCATAGAAGCATCGATTCTTGAATATGATGGCCCGATCGTACGGCACCCGGCACTTGCTACGGTCGACGACGAGGCGACGGAAGAGTACACACGATGGCTGATATTTGTGCCGATCCTCTTCGGGTATGTTGTACACCTTCAGATCGCCGGTGAATATGGTCATTGTCTGTAGCTGCATCAGCGTCGGCGACACCTTGTAGAGCGTCACCTTGCTGCTCCACTTCACCGATGGCATCTTGATGCGTGCAGCCACATTGGCCAGCTTAACGAGCGGCAGCTCCAGCAGCGTACGCTGATGGCGCGTCTTTTCCGGCGAATCACTGGGCTTGCTGATCACGTGCCAGGTCTCGTAGCAGGTGATCTTCTTGATGACACGGCCATCCTCCTCCCGCACCGTGGTTGTCTCTTTAGGAAAGTAATTTGGCTTCTTCTTCACCTTGTTCTCCATCTCATTCTCCACCTCTTCCGAGTCCTCGTCATGGCCATCGGCCTCATCGGTTTCGCTATCCTGATCCTTGTTGACAATGGCAGCGCTAGCCTTGTTCTCTTTACTGTAACGCTGCTGCTGCGGTAAAGCATTCGCGTTGATGGGTGGCTTCTTGAAGCTCTCCTCACTGTCCTCGCCCAGCAGCTTGGACAGCTTGCGATCGCCCGCCGCATAGTTTCGACTGCTATTTGTGGTGGCATTCGAGGACAGTATTGGCCGACGTGGCTTATACTTAGCTGGGGCTGCTGCCGCCGCCTGGCTTCCCCGATTGGTCGCAGCCGCATTGGCAGTCGTAGCCGCTACTGGGATCACACGGCGCGGTGGAAGTGGCGGTGATAGTTTTATGTCGGCCTCACTCTCATCGAGATCTAGATCAATGTCGATATCATCCTCCTCGGTATCGACATCCGTCGGATACAGCTCTTTGCCCATGCTCAGCAGCGGCTTTATGGGCTTTGCCTTTTTGCCCATCTCTGCATTGAGTATACGGGGACGCGGCTTGGCCTGATTCTGCTGCGTTTGCGTCTGCTGCTGCTGCTTCTTGTTGAACGTGGCCGAAGCCTTGACCCGTTTGGGTGGACTAAAGCCGCCCTGCGGTGAGCTACTATTACTTGTCGGACTCGATCCGGAGGTGGTCTGTGTTGCTGATCCCGAGCCTGTGCTTGTGTTATGGATCCGTGCCCTGGGTCGACCCACCGATAACTTCTTGCTGGCGGCATTCAAAGTGCTCGACGTGGCATTGTTTGTCCGACTGATGAGCACATCATCCTGGTTGATAATGTCATTGATATTCACAATGGTAAATGTGGGCACATCATCGTTTATCTTGCTGTTGCCGCCGCTCTCTCGCTCCGCCGCAGTGGCAGCCACCGACTTAGCGCTGCTAATTCTCACTGAGGACGTTGCTGCTGCTGCTGCTGTCGTGGAGCTATTCATCTTCTTGGTCGTCGTTGTGCCTGCCGGCCTCTGTTTGTTAATCAGTCTCCCCGTCGTCGCCGATGTAGGTGCTGTTCGCTGCCCACTGTTGCTGCCGACGAGAGTTTTGGCCCTGCCCACAGGAGTGGCAGCAGATGTGAGCTTGCTGCCGCTGCCGGCTCCATTGACCACTGGCGCACTGCGATTGGCTCCGCCGGTAGACAAAACCATTCGCTTGCGTGCCACGGGACTGTCTGTGGCATCCTCCAGCTTACGCTTGGCGGCTCCCTCCGATCCCGTGGTCAGATTGCTGCGACTGTTCATGCTCACAGCAGTGTGGCGTCGCAATTGCTGCATATTCGTCGCGGGCCGCCCGGCACTCGCCGTCAGCTTGGACTGCGCCGGACTGGCGGCGGCGGGTGTGGAGGCCGATGCATTTGCCGATTTGGGCGGACGTCCACGTCCACGCTTCACGGGCTGCACTGGCGTCGGCTGTTTCTCGTGCCGCATCTCCTCCTGGTACTCATCCTCGCTCATGTCATCATCGTCGTCATCGGACTTGTGCATTTGCGGATTGTAGGCCACATCGTTCAGCTCGTCGTCGTTGTCCTCGTCCAGATCGAGCAGATCGTGCATATAGTTATATTTGCTGGTGGGATAGGCCTTCGAATTGGAGTTGCCGCTTTGATGGCGCGACGCGGGCGTGTCGCCGCCAGCCAGAGAGGCCACGTACTTTGGCGTGACCACGTCCTCGCTGGCATACTTGGGATTCGGTTTGATGGAGCGACGCGAACGACTGGCGGCAATCGTCGGCGGCGGCGACACAGACACCACCTGTGAAACCTTTGCTTGCTTGTACATCTTCTGTGTCTTGGGAGAGATGATCTCCTGTGTCTGTGTCGCCCGCCGACCGGCTAGGGTCCGGCGCATTGTGTTGGTCGCCAGCGGGGTGAGATGCTTGGCCGCTGGTGCTGCTGCTGCCGATGGTACTGCCGAGTTGCGTCGCTTGGCGGCCAGGCCTGTTCCCATCAACCTTTTGGCGGGCAGTATCGCTGCTGATTTGGGTGGCGATGGTGACGCCGATGCTGCCGCAGATGGTGGTGGCCTCCGTGTGAGATGGGGTGTGATGGGCATCGAATCCCCCTTGGATTGACGCAACCGCCTGGCGGCAACCAAAGATGCTGGAGAAGACAGCTTGTCCTTTTCTAGGGCCACACGCTGTCGCGCCTTGCTGCCAACACCGATCTCAGCCGTAATGGTCGTGGCCCGTTGAGAGGTGCGCGTCGCGCGTCTTGGGATTGTGGCGCTTGGTTGGGCGGTAATGGCGACGCTTCTATGTGGGAGTGTTTTAATTGATTTCGATTTAACGGCTGCTGCTCCAGTGGCGGCAACCGATGGTAGATGTCCTTCCCGCAGATTCTTCACGTAAACAATGCACGGACGAGTCTTTCCAATCTCAGCATCCGTCTTTTTTTCAGCTGGCATCTTTCATGGGATCCCTGAAATGGACATGGAGGAGAATCGGTTCGAAAATATTATTTCTTTTTATTCTTTTAAATGTTCTACATTCTACAGATATGCCTATGTACATATATGCATTGATGTGTGTGCGTGTGTGTAGTGTAGGCAATTGGCAACGCAACGGCTTCTGTTGCCTGCGTATTTCAGCTCTGGCAACTCTGGCGCCTATTTTCGTCACTTTTTGGTGGGTCTGCTGCTGCGGCTGCGGCTGCTCTCTTCTCGCATTAGGGAATTTACGCTGATTTTTTTCGCGCGCCACTTCTGAACATATATACACACACGCGCACGTATATATTAATGTAATATAAATGCCTGTGGGGTAACTTATTATTATTTTGAGTGTTGGATTCGCATACTTACAAGAATGGCTTTACATTTTTTCAAGTTTTGTTTTTCGCACAATGCTAATTTATTTTTCTCTCGCACTTTCACTACACAGAGAGCGAGCTCTGGGGCAGAATTTTCGATTGCGTGGGATAAATACGTCCCTGTTTATAATTTATTTGTTGTATTTTAACCGCCTGCGTGTGGCAAAAACAATGCAGTATATTTTATTTCGATTATTGTTTTTATTGCCTCGTCCCGATTTAATGCAACTTAAGTTGGTAACTGCGCAACTGAACGCAACAGAGAGCAGAAGTGGCGTTTATCGCAGTGGTGGCAACAGTGTACTGTAGTGGCAGCCCTGAAAGAGCGACGACAATGGCGATGTTTTTCTACCCAACTGTACCACTCACACACTCGCACCCCGTTGTTGTTGTTGCTGCTGTTGCTGCTGATTGCTGAGCGAGAGCAGCTAATTTATTTCCATTCATTTCAATGAGAAAAGCGATAGCAATGAACATAGTGCATAACATTTAATTATAATTACTTTCCAGAATGCATTAAACGTTCTCGCAACACTTGCTATTGCTTATTTAACCGACCTACGAGTTTTGTGAATTTCCGCGCTTTATTTTTTCACTTGAAAAAACTACAGGCAACACAGCTGGAACAGTGTGACCGCGGATTTATCGATACAATATACCGCACGACACTCTGAAATATACCATCTCAATTTCGAAATATACCGTAAATCTCAAATCACTGTCCTAGTTAGCAAAACAATTGAATGCTTCGAACGATGACCGAGAGTGTAAGAGAGAGAGCCGCCAAGTTCTTGGAAATAAATATTCAAAAATAAATTCTTTTAATACTTTTTCCGACTTTTTACGCGTTTACAACTTTCGACCAATCAACACTTTTCAAAAAATCAAAGTGCTGGAAAGTCTTCAACAGTGGATTTGGTATTTTGCCGTCCCAAATCAGCTGTTCTTCCAGGGAGATACATAAGAGACATTCAATCCCCCCCTTTCCAACCACCCATGAAATAAAAATTCAATTTATGTATTTTGACTCTGAACAGGCCTTATATTCAGGCCTTAGCCTGATATTGAGGCTGGGTTCCGTTTATGATACATTTACTACATTTGGCTTCGCAATGTCCTTAGAATACTCCACTCCACTCCACTACTTCGTCAGCGCAGATGGCTGGGGGCAGCGGAACTTGGCCATTTCCACCTCCGCTTCGGCAAAGCTGAATCGGTTGAAGGAGAAGTATTCGGGAACTTTGTAGCCGCCGGATGCTGAAGCGCCTGGACCCACTGGAGATGATGACGGTTTTACGCAGTTGCTGCTCAGGCCAGTTACTTTGGTAGTGGGCTGAGGAGCGCCTGCTCCACTGCTGCGGCCTGCTGGATTGGAGCCGCCCTTGATTTGGGTGTAGCAACGGCACATCACCGGCCCGACACTTCGGGAGCGTGAGAACATTTTTGGCCCAACCTGACGAAACTTTCAACAAAAATATTCACGTAATCGTATCAACAACAAATACAACAGTGCTCGACAAGACAGAAGATACGTGACCACATAGCAACACTGCCAACCATGCTGCTCTGGCCACACTATTATTATATCTATTAATTTAAAAAAAAACTGGAAATCAATTTAACTAAATTAGGTTTATTCTGGACATTATGTGGCTATTTTCTCTTCTTGAATTTAGGCTGCGCCTTGCCATAGTGCTGGTCGATGTTTGAAACGGGCGCGCGTTTCTTCTGCTTGCGTTCCTCGTTGTTTTTGCTTCGGCACTTGACACTGGCTGCCCCAGTTTGATTTTTTCCCAGCTGATGAAACTTCTTTCGCTCCTCCCGTATGTTCTTTAGGCGCTGGCGCTCGTCCTTCAGCTCCTTGTAGTTCTTGGCCGTCTTCTTTGGCGGCTTGGCGCCGAGCTTGATCAGTTGGAAAATCTCCATCTTACGCTTATTCTTGGTCACACGCTGATTGCTCATGGCAAAGTTGAGCACCTCATGCCGGGCTTTTTTGATGTCGAACTCTGGGTTAGTGTCTGCAGAGTCTTTGTCCGACTTGTGGGGCCTCTTTTGCACAGCTTCATCTCTAGATTTGTTTTGCTGTTTGTCTGGCATCGAAGTTGATTTCGACTGATGGTATTGCGGCTCCTGGAACACCATTGCCTTGAATTCGCAGTTGGCCAGTTTCTTCTGAGCCGCAAGTGCCGCCCGTGTTGGCACGGGCTTGAAATCCTCGCTGATGTTCATGGCAAACACGAAGCCAGGCCAGTTCAACTCAATTCAGTCCAAAAAGTAAATAAACTCAAACCAAAATATAGAATGCACATGTACTGTACTGTGAGAAATGCGCTAATTTAAGCAAACTGCGTCGCACATTTATAAAACAGACTGGCAGCTCTATGTATAAATAACATGCAGACGTATGTATATTTGTAAAAATTGTGGGAGTCCGTTGCCATTTGCAAGCATAAAATTGATTTATTCATTTATCTAGCTTATAATAGCATATAAATAAGACTATTAATTTACATACACATATATTAGCTACACTTAATTTGTTGTGCAAGACGTCACCTTTATTCAACAGGCTGGCAGCGCTTTGTGAACAAGCCAGGTGTCTCTCTCTCTCTTTCTCGATAATTACATAAATATGTAGTTGATATGTACATAGCTGCAGTGTAAAGTAAAAATGGTTTTTGTTTACTTTTTGGATCTAAAATAAAACCCAAGAAACAAGTTTGTGGTTGAAAAAAAAATATAATTAATATTCAAAAGCATTTTTCACACATTTTTGTTGTACTTAAACAGAGAAAAAAAGGCACAAAGTAAAGTAAAAGAACGAAATTCGTATTGAGCTCCCTACACGTGTTTCTAGATACTAGAAGATAAATTGATAATCGTCTCAAAGGATAATGGATAATGGTTATGCATACGCTTGGATATCGGCTGATTGATTGCTTGATAATATATGGCGCTAATATCTATTCTAAAAGCTAAAGCAATGGCAGTAAAACTAAAAAAAAAATATATTCATGGGACTGTGGAAGGACCATGGAATAATATAAATATCCTCGGATGTAAGGGCTAAAGCTAGTTTGTGCCTTGGAGCAACGTCGGCAGGGAGGCGCCCCCTCAGACCGACTTTATGAGGCGGTCCTGCCGCTCAAAGAGCTTCGTCTTATTCGCCAGCGTCTCGGCGGTGGAGGCGATGACCCCATGCGTGGTGCTGTTCGTGGTGGCAGCAACTGTCGCCACCTCCTTGGCCAGCTTGTCCTGTGTGAGGGTGGCGAGGCACTCGCGAAAGGCGAGTAGGAACTCGTCAGCATTCTCGCGGCTGAAGCACATGGGCGGCTTAAGCTTGATAACGTTGTCATTGGGTCCGTCCGAGCTGACCAGCACCTGGTGCAGCTGCTTCATGCGATTGACCACCCAGCGGGCGGCCTTGGTGTCGGGTGTGCGCCCCTCGCGCTCCTCCACCAGCTCAATGCCCACAAACAGGCCCACGCCGCGCACATCGCCGATGCACTCGAACTCCTGCTTGAGGTGGCCGCACTCTCGCAGCAGGTAATCGCCCAGCTGGAGGGCGTTCTGCTGCAGTCCCTCCTGGTCGATGACCCTCATCACGGCATTGGCAATCGCACAGGACACCGGATTGCCGCCATACGTATTGAAGTACGCCACACCGGTGGCATGGAATGCCTGCGCTATCTCCTGCGTTGTGACCACAGCGCCCACGGGATGCCCGTTGCCCATGGGCTTGGCCACGCACACAATGTCCGGCACCACGTTCTGCGTCTCGAAGGCCCAGTAGTGGCTGCCCACGCGTCCGAAGCCAACCTGCACTTCATCGGCGATGCAGAGGCCGCCCGATGAGCGTACCGCATCATAGACGGCCCGGAAGTAGCCGGCCGGTGGCAGAATCTGGCCGCCGCAGCTCTGCAGGCTCTCGGCTATAAAGGCGGCCACGCCCTGGCCCTTGGCCAGCTGGCGCTGGCATATCTCCTCAATGGGCTGGGCATAGAGCGCGCCCAGATCCGCATTGGGGTACATCTTGTCCGTGAACTGGCCGCCGTAGATATCCGGACAGGGGGCCACGTGCACATAGTCGGGCTTCTTCTCGCCGCCCGGCTGGTTGAACTTGTACGGCGACACCTCCATCACCGCCTGCAGATGTCCATGGTAGGCACTGAAACGGACCAGCCACAAGGGTAAGGCATCGAAGGGAGGATGAAAATAATGTTTATCCACTTACTGGTCAAGCGTGATCACATCCTGGCGCTTGGTAAAGTTGCGGGCCAGCCGGAGGGCCAAATCGTTGGCCTCCGAGCCCGAGTTGACGAAAAAGCACACGGACAGCGGCTCGGGCATCTTGCTGGTCAGCGTTTGGGCGCACTGGACCAGCTCATCGTGCAGGAAACGATTGTTTGTCGAAATGGTGGCCATCTGCAGGGCCCCAGCACGCACCACCTCCGGATGGCAGTGGCCCACTGCAATTACACAGAAAAGAACAAAACAAATGCAATTAGCTGAGAGTTTAAAAACATCATGCAAAAATAATTAAAGCTATTTTAAAACATTTCAATTAAATGTGCGCTTTAAAATGTAAGCAACAAAATAAGTGGACTTGAGTGGAATTCACTTTGAATTATATTTTAAAATGTATTTGCAAGTTTTTCAAATGCAGCTCATATTTAATTTATATTTTCAAATATTTATCTTTAAATGGAAATTATTTCAACTGAAATTAATATGAAATTTATTGAATCAAAATACATTGTATATTTGTTCAGTGCCGAATTTCCCTTTAAATATTAAATATACAAATTATTTGCATATTATTAATTAAGCGAAAACAATTTAGTTTATAACTTTTAACCCTCGCAGGCCAATGAAGTGAAAATATTGAAATTTCAGTGATATTTTTTTCTCGGAATTAAAGCTTTGGAGTGCATAAAATGTAATTTAAAAATAAAAGGGAACTTAAAACTAAATTTCCAATTTCCCATTCTCGTTATTTAGGGCCATTTAGGGTTCAACTGTACTTCTTGGCACTTCGAGCCAGCGAGCGAGGCAGCAAGCGAATTCGATTTAGACCCAAGACTGCCCGCCAGCCAGCCCATGGTCAAAACTTGAGTGAAATCAGCGCAACCAAAGATAGAACAGAACCGAGTGGAGCGTACATAGTACATTTCACTATCAACTAGACTACGAGTAGGAGTACGACTACGAGTGGAGAGGGTGAGGGTGAGGGTGAGACAAAAGCAGGGCAGACACAATGAAAAACGTGTTGGAATCGCGTGCGCTTCACGTGATAGTCAGGGCACCCAGGGGCTACCACAACGAGCAGAGTACGAGAGAGTCTTATCGGTGCTGGCGAATCCAAATTAGAATTGAAACCACACACAATCAGTGGCAGAGAGAGGGGGCCAAGTAGATGGGGGCAACTGATGATGAGGCATATACTCCTACTCCTACGTACATTTGTTGACCCCCAAAAAAATAAGCTACGTAATCAGTCAACAGCTGGGTAGTGGACCGACCAGCGATCAAGCAACACAACGACCCAGTGGCAGTCAGTCCCCCCACCAGTTGTTGGTCTTATCGTCGATCCATAGCTGTCGCGGATCGGCTGCCGGGGCCTGACGCGCTCTGCTCTACTTGGACCCGGGCCTGTCTACCTTTCGCCACCTCACATTAGAGGCTCTCAAAACAAAATGTATTTTCGGTGGCACACAATCGCCAGCATCGATGCGCAAACGATGCGATAACGCGCCCCCAAGGTGGGACAAACCAAACCGTGTTCACGTGTATTATTGAATTTATTTTTAGGCACATATACGGATGGGTTTTGGATGGTAACACCATACAGCAGGGTAAAGTTTTGTCTACCTATCCATTAGCTATCCATAATCTGCTGAGCAGCCCAACTTTAAATGATTTGACTTGTAGTATTTATTTTTGGGTAGTGAACTCGGCTTCGATTGATCGTTTTGTTGATCAGGAAATTCCCACCCTAAAGTCCTTGACGATTCTAAGAGTTTTGGAAGGAAGATCTTTTGAGTGGCTCAAAAAATGATCACCGTGCGGATCGGTGTAAAATCGAATCGAATTTTGTTTTTCTTTGCTTTTCGCAACATCATTAGCAACAAAATCTTTGTGCATATAGAGGCAGCGTGTAGGAATATCATCTACAAGACCCACACAAACAGAGAGACAGAGGGACAGATGGATGGATGTATTTTTCTGATTATCTATACAGAATTTTCCACTCGCAATGGATTGTATGCCATCAGCTGATTGCATAGACGGGGCAGGCAGCCGCGCCACATGCTACAACAAATATTGAAACTAAACTAGGGGCACAGGCGTATGGAATGGGTTGGAGTTGTTGTTGTTGTTGTTGTTGGGACTGTACGCACTATGGACAACTGCATGCATTGGACTGGCTTGGCTTTTCCATAGCTGATTGTTTGCCTAAGGCTATCTCAAGTACATTTCCATTCGGCACGAGACGTTCACATGTTGCTCGACGCCCCGCCGTATGATAAGGCCCGGCCCGTTCTATTCCAATGCGGATTGGCCCTGTCCAGTGGGATTGTGTCGTCTCCGTTGGAGTCGGAAAAGTGGCACGAGATTACAAAGAACGTGGCGATCGTAAAGCGTGCGTGCAAGTCCGACGTCTTCTTCAAGTTTCATAATAGCAATAAACAAGGCAAAACTTCAACTCGCCTCGCCTCGCCTCGAGTTGTTGTTCTCACTTGGGATGGGTATGGCTATGGGTATGGGTACTGGGATTGGTGATCGGACAACACGTGCACCTTCGTGGCCTTATCACGTTTCACGTCCATAGGGTAGCATAGTTCTAGTTTCTGTTTGTTGTTTTCAAGTATCATTGGAGTCGATGAAAATAGATTTGAAATGTTATTGATGTGTCGGGCCAGAGGTTACACAAAGATCTGCTACGCAGGTGAGATCGTACGATCGTGGAAATGGGTCAATTGATCTTTGACATCTTTGATCGTACTGATCGTTGAGCGATCTTTACGGCTGACTACAGAGAAAACAAAGCTGCTTAATGATCTACTAAGATGTACATCTGATCGTATTTTAAAATCTATTTATCTATATAATGCTCCATCAGCTGCAATTGGATCAGCAATTTGAATTAAATTTCAACATTTCTCAGTGCATAGTCCAAACGGGTTTTTGATCTATGAATAGTACAGCACGGAGGATGGTGTCGCTTATCCCTGCTCCGTACCGACCCCCATTCATTTCCATTCTATTCGCAATGCCAACGTCCAACAGCCCACTGTCATTTCTTATCAGCGATGACAGCATAAATCGAGTGCAAAATAACAAAAAAACAACATCATTAAACATATGAATACGTCGTTGGACAAAAGCGAAATCCTTTTTGCTAGAATTATCCAATTTGCAGGCCAACAATTGGTTCCGGAAAATTTCATGGAAAATTTCCGTAGACAACGGGCTTTGCAGCGTTGTCGTCGGAACTGCGTCAAAAAAAATGGTGTGCCCCAAGCAGACGTCAATCTTCGTTGTTGTGTAGCTCCCGTACCCGTACCCGGGCTGCATTGGATTTGACCGGACGGACTTGTATTGCATTGCTTTCTCTTAATCATCAAAGCTCAGAGCTCTGAGCTGTACCCGGGACTGTGCGTTAGGCCCTGTGTCGGGGCCCGAAATCGACAGCAGGGCGTTGGGGCCAGATCCAGATCCAGATCTCAGGCGACGCGAATCGGCGGAGGCCTGTGTCGGGGCCCGAAATATCATTATGACCACTGGCGGGGGGTGCCACTCCCAGCATCTCAAATCAGACACAACAGCACTTGGCAATTGACTTTGATAAGGCTGACTCAGTACGTCGCCGCCGCATTCGCTATGAGGGCAACTAAATCGGGGCCGGGGCCTGAACATGCCTCTGATGTCTGGGCCGTTTGTACTCTCTCTCTCTCTCTCTCTCTGCTGGGTTGCTGGTGTCGTTGTCGTAACCTTGAACTTGATTGCCAAATACTCTCTCCTCTCTCCCTATATCGCATTGCCTCGTAGCGTGCACTTTGCATTCAAGAAAAAAAAAGCGCCACTTACCTGCGGCATAAACAGAAATACTAAATGACACCCCCCAATGGATGGCACACATCCGCATCAGGCCCCGGTTGCTCGTCCGCCTAATACTTGTGTAGATCTTTCAGTTTTTATGGATTTGACTTACCATGTGCCACATTGTTGATGCAGTCCAGATAGCGAGTGCCTTCCTCGTCGAACATGTACTGGCCCTGTCCGCGTACAATTTTCAGTGGATCAGAGCGATAAAAGAGCTGGCAGGCTTGCCTGAAAAAAGTTAAGGGTTTAAGAACATCTTTCACAACAAAGTTGCACTGTTGCATCTCTGAGACTGTACTTTGTATAAGGTGGGGCCTAGGGTCCATTAATCAAGAACAGAGTCCCTCTCTCGTACCTGTGTGATAATTTCCCACTGCGATTATCGTGTTTTTGTTAACTCTTTCGTGTGTGTTTGGCTTGCAAATGTTTGATAAACATTTTACGAGTGGCTGTTTGCTGTGGGCTGTGGGCTGTGGGGTGTGGGTGGGTACTGTACTTAAACAAAGCAAACAAAGGAATCAACAAGATCTATGGCAAATTAAACAATCATTTAACGAACTTTGTGGCTGCTTTAATGTGCATTTTTATATTCTACTCTTCAGTTAGATTGTTTGCTAATCATTTCTCAAGTTGAATTTTGATTACAATTCCTTGCAGTGAAAGTGAAAATGCTTAATTTTCCGATGCTGCGGGGGGAGCTGTTGTTGCCAAGCGTTGACCAAAAATATAATCAATAGCCAAAGAGCCAAAAATAAATGAGTTCGGCGTCTATTCTCGGCCAAATAAAAAGGTTTCAACGCTTTGTTGTTGTTGCTGCACGTGGCCACAGACTGGGGAGATGAGAGAAAGAGAGCAACAGAACAGAGCAGAGCAGAGCAAAGCAGTGCAAAGCAGCGCACAGGCAGAGACCGAGCCGAAGCAGACGCGATGAGTGTGTGCCGTGCCGTGCCGTGCCGCCTCGGTTGGGGGATGCCGCCGCTTGACCTTGACAGCGAAACGGAACTAAAGGGAAGGTCGGCGGCAACACAATGGGGCAGGATGTGAAGTGTGAAGGCTAATAAGACAACTAAAGACTCAAGGCTGCTGCTTGTCTCAAAAGGACAGTGTGCGTGTGTGTGCGCACACGTGTTATATGACTTGCCAACACAGCGTGGGGACTGGGGCGGCCACTTACCCGATGTGTTTGTTTCTCAGCTTGATGGTCTCCGTCTTGGACAGCTGTTCGCTGGCCACCGCCACCGACTTGGTTTGCTCTTGTGCGAAAGGCATTTTAAATGTTTATTGAAAATAATTGTTGTTTAATTTTGGATTTGATTTTGATTTAAATTAAAAGTTTTGGATTTCGCGCACTTTGGCTGGAGTTAGCTTGGAACGGTGCAAAACTGCAAGCTGCAACTGCAAACTGTAAGTGCAAGTGTGCAACTGTTCGACTGTTATCCCGGCAAAAGGATATGCGGCACTGATGTGACGTGTGACGTGGGATGATTATCGCAGGCTAAAGGCACGGGACGCCTTTACGTCTTTGGGTGCTTGGAAATTGTCGCCGAATGACAAATTCTATGCGAGAGTGTAGCATTTTTATAACAGAGGCCGAGCCAACCAACGGCCACGGCTGGGCCCACTGTCGAGCGCTGTTGTTGCTGTCGCTGCTGCTGCTGCTGCTGCATGCCGTTTATTGTAGGCACTGCGCTGTTGTTGTGGCAGCTCTGTTACCAGTTAGCAGCCTGTTATCGCTGACACAGCTACTGCTGTTAAAATTCCCACTGTTACTATTGCTGCTGCTGCTCTCACTCTCTCTTTCTCTCTATGCCTATGTCTCTCTATGTGTGCGTTTGTGTGTGTGTTGTTCGCGCTCAAAGCAAATTGAGTGTGAGGTAAGGCGCACTAATGCAAAGAGTAGGAAATAGCAGGTGCAGTTAGTTGTTATGTTTTTCGAGTTGCATATTTTTAACTTGCTCATGCGAATGACAAAAACAGGCCAGACTTATGCTGGCACCTCCTCACCCTTCACTAAATGTACTTTGGGCCTGTGTTCGTGTGTGTGCGTGTGCGTTGCTGTAAATGTATCGCACGACAGCATACACGTGACTCGGCCGTTCCCTACTATCACCATCTCTCTCTCTGTGCACACATCGAACGCCGCCTCCCCTCCCACTCTCTCGCTCACTCTTTCTAAACGCTTGGTGCATGCGTGCGTGTGTGTGAGTGAGCTCTGCGATAACACCAATAACCCATATACATACATATATGGGAATTTAGCGCAACCAGAGCCAAGGTGCATTTGCACAGGGTGAAGCCATTGCCAACGTTTTTGCAATTAACGTTTAAATCAAAAAAGTTAAGCATACAAAATTATGACTATGATGAACAGAATGAATAATCTCTAATTTCCATAATGCAGAACCATCGGCATTCGACATCTCTAACTTGTCTAATTTTGAAAGCCAGCGATAGGACTTTTGGGTCGTGAGAAGAGCTGCACCATCGATTTTGACAATTCGAATAAATATTTAATATATCGACAGCCTTCCATCGCTAAGCAGAGTGACAGACGCCGCATAAGCATTTTTTATCTGGTTTCGTTTAATTGTATTTCTGAAACTTCAAAATGGACCGAAAAACAATTCGTAAGAATATCTACTGGACCCTTGATTTGGAAACGAAGATTGCGAAACTCGGCAGGAAGGAAGCCAAAATTGAATATTTAGAGAAGAGTATTATTTCGTTTCAACTTGAGGAAAAAGCTTTATTGAAATGCGAACGGTCTCTTGCCATCCTTGATGGTGATTTAGACGACGGCTCCACGCGATGCCCAAGGCGCAGCTCGAGGCTCAGGGAAAAGCATCAGGCGCAGCAAAAGGGCGAGTAGGACAACGACGTAAGCAACGAGTGCGAAGGCGAAGACAACCAAAAGTAACGACTGCAGCAGTTAAATTCAATTAAATGGAACACTTTTTTTTATTTATTGGTGTTTTTTGTTTTTTTATTTCGTTTTGTGAAATTAGCCCGCCTGGTTCTGGACCCTTCGACCCTTCCAATTGCGATGCGGCTTCGAGCCTATGCTCTGGCCACACAACCACTAGAACACAACCACCACTTACACCAAGAGATTATTGAAATAGCAACACATCACCCCACCTACTCCATTGTTACAATAAACATGAACTATTAAAAGTTATTGGCATATTCAATGCATCCACAATGGACACAGCACTCCGCCCTAGTCAGTTAGGAACTCTGGTCCTCAGGTACAATGGATTAACTTTATATATTTTTAGATTTTATTGCACAAAAAAATAGCTTCGAAAAAAAAGGGAGAATATATTAATATGCGTTGGCTGGATGGATCACAATCTGGCTTCATGGCCAACTAGTAGACGTAGCCACCGTTGCTGGCGTACTTGGTGTCGAGGCCATTGTATCCGGAGTAGCCCGAGTAGCCAGTGTCCGCTGGCAAATAGGTGCGCGAGGGAGCTGCATAGCCAGCCGTGTACTGCGGCACCACATAGCTCCTGTAGCTGGACGAGATGAGCGGTGAGGAATAGCTTGAGCCAGAGCCGGTGTAGTAGCCGCCATTCGAGTAGCCTGGATAGGCGGAGTAACCTCCCGTGTTGTAGCCATTGTAGCCACCATTGTGGCCGATGCTCTGCGGCGGCAAGTAGCTGCGCGACAAGTGGGAGACATCGGCGGCGCACAGGGCCACCAGGCAGGCACCAGCAATTGCGAGCAAACCGATGAAGTTCTGTTTGAGAGAGAGAGAGAGAGAGAGAGTTAAGGTTGTGTTTTTGGCCATTGAAGGATGCTGTCCTTGCTGCGCTTGCCATTGTCTTGCTTTTGGGATTGAGAATTCCTTGTGAGGATTAGTTGTAGTTGCACACTGAATGGATGCCGACGAGCAACTGTGGAATCTGCTGTTGCCGTTTCTACTTTTTATACGCTTCTAAGAGTGAATTATATTGTGCACCCAAATATTATTTTCTTTCTTTCTGTTTATTTTTTACAACTAATTTTAACGCCTTGCCACGGCATGTCGACGGACATGGCCCATTACTCAACGGATAGTCAGGCAGGAGGGCGATCGGTCGGGCTTAGACTCCATGTTCATCATGTTTTTTTTTTTTCGGTATCCGTCCCCAAATTGGTTAGCCATGGAAAAACCACGTCGGCTGTGCCATATGGAGTATTTGCTGGTTGAGTTTTGCTTTGTTTTGGTTTTTTTTATTACTGCGGCACGCCCCCTACGGCGTGTGAAACGCTGGGGGAGCTGCTTCAAACATTGTCGCGCTTGCGCCTGGGCTTGGGGGCTCTCTTTCCTTAATTATACTCGTACATTTCAGATATATTGCTTTAAATGATCTCTTCTGGTTTTTGGTTGTTTGTTTGTTTTGTTTTTTATGACATTCTGCGGTCGCGCCGGTTAAAATGCTTTGGTCTTGTTTATATGTCGTCGCTCATAAATCCACCCAGGTACCAGGGTGTCCGACCGTTATTAATTGTTGCAATGGGTCATTGAGTTTCGTGGGTTTCGCATTGCAATAGCCAGCGATGTGGATGACATCACGGCTCAAATGATTAATTGCGGTTGCAATTCAATCCATTTGATTTTGATTTTGATTTTGAATCAAGTGCGGGCTAGCCGCAGCTGATTTAGCTGATCAACGCACTCAGCTGACCAACGCACTCAGCTGATCGTAAATAGAACACGTGCTTGTGGGCACACAGTTTAACCAATTTGCCAAAACAAATGACAAAGTAAGTTCACAGCGTTTGCTGTAAATCAAAATGCCGTGGAATACCGATCCCAAATGGCTGATCAACGTGGCCTCATCCGTTCCACTGGATTTGACGAAAAACCCAAGGGAAGAAGTGCAAAGCAGTGCAGAAAAAAAAGTTACGTCGATTTCACCGATTCGTATAAAAAAGAAGCCTTCAAAAACCGAAAAAAGGAAGTCACTGTTGAAGGTAGTTAAAAAGAGCACAAAAAAGGAGGCGACAGGTCCAACATCTACAAAAGTTAGAGCAGCGGCTAAGCTTAAAAAGCCGAATACCGAAGCGCCCGCTGAGGCGCCACAGCAAGAGGAACAGCCGAGCGTCTCGGGACCCGGGAAGGTCAAGCAGGAGCCGGAGACAACGATAACAGAATCGCGCGGCTTTTTCACGGATGTGATTGATGAGACTCTGTCCAGCCTAAATAATAATGACGATATTTCGTTATCTGAGCTCATGTCACTGGTCAAGATGAGGGCGCTTTGGGAACAGAAATACAATGTGGAGGAGCGCAAGCCCGTATCCAATCGCTCAGCGTCGCCGCCACCGCCACCGCCGAAACGCAAACGCAATCCGATTCAAAAGCCGGTCAAAGAGCGGCGCATGAACGATAAGGATGCGGAAGAAGCTAACAAATTTTGGAACTTGGATGATCTCGAGGACAATGAAATTGTGGAGAATCAGATTAGCGTACCGCCACTGAGAACGCAGTTTGAATGTCGTCGGTTCGACATTATGATGCCGGCGTTTGCCATGAAGCAGAACTTGATTCAGCCGCTTTTTAATTGGGAGTTGCTGAACAGGATTATGCCGCCGCCAGTAGAGGAGGGTACGAAAATTTTGCAGCAAGTCGTCAATGAGATGCTACTTCAGTATCAACAAGGATCAGTAAAGCCCACATAGTTAAGTTGTTAATGGAAATGGGTTTATATGTTTATTTCTTTGTAATTACCTATTTTTCTTGTTACACATGTATAAGTATGTATATAAAATGTAAGTTTGGTATTTCTGACATTAGCGGTCACACTATTCTAACGGGTCCGTTCCAAACTGGCGTGATCGCCCGCCAGCCGGCCTGACCTTGAAATTTGTTCGTTCAATTTGCTTTCGGCTTTGCAAGCTGCAAGCCATATTCTTTTGTTACTTATTTTCGTTTTTGGTTCTCTTGTAAAAATTTGAATAAAAGTCTTTTAGTTAAACCGTTAGAGTTTGTGTTGAATGTGCGTAGGCACGCGTTTGCATTCCCAGCGGAGTGAAATATAAGGCCGTGGGCGCAACATGAGATCCAGCAATTGGCAAATGCACAACCTAACCTCTCACACAGCAACCGTATGCAACGGGGTCGGTAACGGGATCGGCCACGGTAACGGGAGCAACGCAAATACATCTTGCAATTGCTATAATGTGCGAAGGCAACGTTATGGAGGCCACGGGCCAACCCAGCCTCAGTTGTCCGGCCGCCCAATTTGGTGGTGCCGTTTGGCAATGTTGCTGCTCATTTTCTGTGCGCTTGCTGCCTCCGCGTCGGGACCAGCGAACACGCGGTGCAATGAAGAACAATTCCAGTGCAGGGACGGTAGCTGCATCTTACAGGCGAAGATGTGTGACGGACGAAACGACTGCACCGATGCCACAGATGAATTGGATTGCGGTAGGGTGGCGCCATCTTTCCATACCTCCCCTCCACGATGGCTAACCTCAACCTAACCTCATTTCCGTTCCAGACTACAAGCTGTGCCGGGAGCCCCATTGGTTCCCGTGCGCCCAGCCACATGGAGCCTGCCTGGCAGCAGAACTAAAGTGCAACGGCATCGACAACTGCCCAGGCGGCGAGGATGAGCTCAATTGTCCAGTGTCTGCGCGCTTCGCCAGTTACCGCAGGCTTCCGGCGCGCAATTGCAGCCTCAGCCAGTACATGTGCCAGCGGGATCGAAGCTGTATACCCATCGAGTTTCAGTGCGACGGCAAGTCAGACTGTGCGGACAGCTCGGACGAGCTGGACGGCTGCAGCACACAATCTGCGGCCAGCTGCAGCGGCCATCTCTGCCCCAATGGTCGCTGCCTGCAGCGTAAGCAGTGGCTTTGCGACGGCGTCGATGACTGTGGCGATGGCAGCGATGAACATGGCTGTGGTAAGTTGACTGCACTCCTGTGTCCTGTGTATCCACATATCAATCTATATTGTCTCCTAGTGGATCTCTGCAAGCCGCAGTTGGGTAAGTTCATGTGCCGCAACAAGGAGCAATGCCTGCAGCTGGCCCAAGTGTGTAACGGCCACAGTGACTGTATGGATGGCAGCGATGAGTCCGAGACATGCAACATCAAGCCTGACTGCAGCAGCAAGACGTGTCCGCCCGCCGCCACCTGTCACATGATGCCTGTTGACGGTGCGCATTGCTATTGTCCTGCGGGCTTTCGTCTGGCCAAGTTCGGGAACAAGTGCGTGGACATTGACGAGTGCCAGGAGCGTGAGTCGGAGCTATGCAGTCAGAGCTGTGAGAACACCTCCGGTGGGTATCGTTGCCTGTGCGATCCTGGCTACCAGCTGGCCCGGGACAATCGCACGTGCCGCGCAACGATCTCGAATGCCAGCGAACATCCCCTGCTGCTGTACACCACACAAATGAATGTCATGGGCATGCAGCTGGGCAGCGGGCAGCAGCACTGGAGCAGGCATCACGTTTACCAGGTGGCCGGGAATCTAAGCAAAGTGATTGGCGTCGCCTACGATGGCAGCCACGTCTACTGGACAAACATTCAGAACGAGGCCGAGAGCATTGTGAAGGCCAAGTCCGATGGCAGCCATTCCGAGATCCTGCTCACCTCCGGTCTTGACGCCCCCGAGGATCTGGCCGTGGACTGGCTCACGCAGAATATTTACTTTTCGGACAATGAAATGCGACACATTGCCGTCTGCTCGCACGATGCCCACAACTGTGTGGTGCTCGTCACGGAGGATGTACACCAGCCGCGCGGACTGGCCCTCTGGCCGCAGCGTGGCCAAATGTTCTGGACCGATTGGGGCGTCAAACCCATGATTGTGCGCGCCTCCATGAATGGTGAGCGTTCCACGCCAATTGTCAGTGACAACATACACTGGCCGAACGGCATCGTCGTGGATATGCACCAGCAGAGGATCTACTGGGTGGACGCCAAGCTGGGCAGTATCCAGACGGTTCGACCCGACGGCACCGGCCGTCGCACCGTGCTCGATGGCATACTGAAGCATCCGTACGGCCTGGCCGTGTACGAGGATCAGCTGTACTGGTCGGACTGGGTCACCAAGAGCATTCATGCCTGCCACAAGTACTCCGGCAAGCAGCACCGTGTCCTGGCCAAGGATAGCGCCATTTATGCGGTGCACATCTATCATCCGGCCAAGCAGCCGCAGACACCCAATGCCTGTGCCTCGGCCAGATGCTCGCACCTGTGCCTGCTGGCCGAGCCGGAGGCGGGCGGCCACAGCTGCGCCTGTCCCGACGGCATGCTACTGGCGTCCGATCAGCAGCGCTGCATGCAGATGGTCAAAAGGCAGCGACTGTTTGTGGGCGTCGGCCAGTACCTGCTGGAGATTGAGCACACGGCCTTTGGCCGGCATGTGGTGAGTGCCAGCCACGCCTTGGACTGTGTCATCAGCGAGATGGTGTACAACAGCGTCAATGGCAGCCTGATCATAGCCGACAATGAGCGCCACATCATTGTGGAGTATCAACCGGAACAGGGACGGGCCCAGGGACAGGGACACGGACAACCACTGCGGACTTTAATCCGTTCAAATTTGGGCAATGTAAGTGCCTTGGCCTTTGATCACATCAGCGAGAACCTATACTGGGCCGATGCCGAGCGTCGCGTGTTGGAGCTGTTCTCCTTTCACACCCGACACCGCGCCCTCATCCGGTTCTTTGCCGGCCAGGAGTCACCCATTGGATTGAGCGTGATGCCCGCGGATGGTTATCTGTTTGTGGCGCTGAAGGCGCGCAGGCAGAGCTACATCGATCGACTGCCACTAAGCGGCAGGGGTACACCGACGCACGTCTTCGAGGATGAGCTGGGCGATGATGACATCAAGATGGCCACCGACTACGAGCATCATATGCTGTACTGGTCGGACAGCGATATGGGCATGATCAAGTACACGAACTATCGCCAGACGCAGGAGTTGATGTTCCGCAATAAGCTGCGTCGTCCCTACAGCCTGGCCCTGGTGCATCAGGATCTGTTTTGGAGCGAACTTGGCTCTGCGTCCATTTACTGGGCCCACAAGAGCAACATGGGTCCACGAAAGCGCATCGATGTGGTGCCAACACGCGGAGACGGCAACGGCGACGGCGACATGCACGGCCAGTACCCCATGTCCATGCGCGGAGCACCCTGGCGTCTCTCCCTGGCGGCCAGTGTCAGCATCGGGGAGGAGCAGCAGCTGCATCAGCAGCAGCATCCCTGTCGGCAGCAGAATGGCGGCTGTTCGCACATCTGTGTGGGCGTGGGACGACTGGCAGCCACCTGCCTCTGTCCTGTTGGCTTTGTGTATCGCGATGCCAGCAATCGCACCTGCCTGGAGGCGCTCGACTGTGAGTTCCGTTGCCACAGCAGCGGCGAGTGTCTGACCTTGGCCCATCGCTGCAACGGCCGGCAGGATTGTGTGGATCGTTCCGATGAGTTGGACTGCGACGAGGGGCATAAGCCAAGGCCAAAAGTTATGTGCACTAATCGCCAGTTTGCCTGCCACAATGCCGAGGACTGTGTGGAGAAGAACAAGCGTTGCGATGGCCACAAAGATTGCCCCGACAATTCCGATGAGCTGCATTGCTCGCAGTTTGGTAAATCCCAAAGCCCCGCTGCTTCCATTTCGAAAGATTCTCAACTGATTTCTGTCTTTTTCGCTTCAGATAAAACCAAAAGCTGCCACGCCCATCAGCTGGCCTGCGACAATGGAAAATGTGTGGACCAGAGCCTCATGTGCGATGGCAAAAACGATTGCGGCGACAACACAGACGAGAATCCCAGCAAGTGCGACTCACCGGCCAGCTGCGACTTGGGCATGTTTCAGTGCAGCAGCGGCGCCTGCATAGCCGGCAGCTGGGAATGCGATGGCCAAATCGATTGCAGTGACGCCTCCGATGAGCATGACAAGTGCGGACAGCGTCAGTGTCCGGCGAATATGCACCGCTGCATGTTGGGCCAGTGCCTGGACAGGCGACTCGTCTGCGATGGCCACAACGATTGTGGGGATATGACGGATGAGCTCAATTGCGGCATCCATGACTTGCCGTCCAAGGCGAACCTCTGTGGCAACCTCTATCAGTGTGCCAGCAATTTGAAGATTTGTCTGGATCCGGCAGTGCGCTGCAACGGCACCGCCGAATGCCCACGCGGCGAGGATGAGGCCGATTGCGGGGACATGTGCAGCATCAATGAGTTCCAGTGCCGCAGCGAAAAGCAGTGCATACGCAAGGAGTTCCGCTGCGATCGCGCCAAGGACTGCAGCGATGGCAGCGATGAGGAGAACTGCGACAAGATCCAGAATCAGACACTTAGCCAGCCCTGGACCGCAGCGAGTCGTGCCTGCCGTCCGCATCTGTTTGACTGCCACGACGGCGAGTGTGTGGACATGTCGCGGGTGTGCAACAGCTTTCCCGACTGCCAGAATGGCAACGATGAGGGGCCGCTGTGTGCGACAGCCTGCAAGGCCAGCAGCGTCGGCGGGGCACGTCCGGTGTGCCAGCACAAGTGTCGTGCCACGCCAACGGGTGCCGTGTGCTCCTGCTTCGATGGCTATCGCCTGGACACGGATCAGCGCAGCTGTGTGGATGTGAACGAGTGCCTGGAGGGCAATCAGCCATGCGCCCAAATATGCGAGAACACCCTCGGTGGCTTTCAGTGTCAGTGCCATGCGGACTTTATGCTGCACCAGGATCGGGTGAGCTGCAAGAGCCTACAGGCTGGCGCCACGCTGCTCTTCAGCAGCTACAACGAGGTGCGCAATCTCAGCGAGCAGCCGATGATGCTGCAGGTGGCCTGGTCGGCCAATGACTCGCGCATCGATGGCTTCGACGTGGACATGGAACGACAGTTGGGCTACTTCTCCAGCGAGGAGCAAGGCATCGTCTATCAAGTGGATATGCGGCGGGGTTCCGTAACGCGTGCTCTGGCTGTGCCATCGCCCACAAAGCTTGCGGTCGACTGGGCCACCGGCAATGTGTATGTCCTGGCCGGCGGCAGTGCCGCGCAGGAGATTTACGCCTGTAGCTTCACCGCCCGCATGTGCGGACGCATTCTCCAAGTGAAGACACACATGCATCTGCGGCATCTGGCCATTGATGGCTACCATGGGCGACTCTTCTACATTGCCATGCGATTGGAGGGCTTCGGCCATGCCAGCGCCGAGGTGCATGTGGCCCGTCTCGACGGCAGCCACAAGGAGCTGATGCTGCACAAGAAGGACAGCTATATGACGGCCCTGGCACTCGATCCGCACCAGCAGCAACTCTACTTTCTGGACATGCACAGCCGCACCCTCGAGAGGATCAGCTACAGGTCACGCTCCGGTTCGGGGCCACATCGCAGGCCCGAGATGATGGTGCAAAAATCACCGGCCCTGAAGCAGCCCTCGGGTCTGAGCATCTACGAGAATCAGGCCTACATTGTCAATCTCGGCTCTAAGGAGGCGGTGCGGTGTCGCCTCTACGGTGAACGCATCTGCAAGTCCATCAATTTGAATGTGAACAATGCCCAGGACATAGTGGTGGCCGGCAAATCGCGGCAGCCGATGCCAGCGACAAATCCGTGCCAGCATTCGCACTGCCACGGCATGTGCATCCTGGCCGACTATGGGTACGAGTGCATGTGCGGCAGCCAGCTGGTGGCCGAGGGCGAACAGTGCCCCCATGGCTCCAGCAGCGAACTGGAGGTGGGCGCAAGCAGGCAGGATAGGCCCCGGTCAAGTGCCTCCTCCATCCAAAGGTGGTTGATGGCCCTCCTGATGCTTGTGGTTGGCTCGTTGGCAGTCGGACTTGGGTACATGTACTTTCGGTGGCGGCAGCGCGGCCACACGGATCTCAACATTAACCTCCATTTCCAGAATCCATTGTCGACAATCGGCAGCAAAGCGTTCATCGATCACGAAAGGAATGAAGCCAGCGTCGGCATCAATGGCAACGGGATGGATGGGATGGCTTCCAGCCACAGCCACAGCAGCAGTGAGACAGGCACCACCAGCGCCTCGTCCTCCTTTGCGGCTCAGCAATTTGGCATGCCGAATGTTCTCCAGCGAATGCTACGACCAAAACAGACGTCCAGCTCACAGATGGCTACCGAAATGCTTCTCAAAAACTCAAGAGTGAGTCGGGGCCCGATTCCTTATTGATTATTTTCTAATCATTCTCTCTCTCTCTCTTTGGTTCGGCAGGCAAGCGAACTATACACGCTGGACAATGGACGGAAATCAGCAGGAGGAGGAGGCGGACGGGTGCAGGACATCCTGGTGGCAGACATTGACGATGATGCCGCCACAGGCGGATCATTCGGGGGAGGCTACGCAGGCGATGATGCGAATGCACGACTTGTTCCGTAAATAATCTGCCGCATATCCTGTTCCAACTAATTTATAAGCTGTCAAATGCCAGCCAACACAGTCTCGTATGTATTCTACCTATTTATGTATCTATTTTTGTATAATGTTAAGCTCAATGTTAATGTATTGCCCGCCAGTGAGTGTACCTCAAATTGTAAATGTAAAATGTAAGAATATAAATCAAGAAACTGCTCAACGCGTAGTGATTGAAACCCGCATTACAGAGTCATTTGCCACTCGCTAAACATAATTAATTGATGCCAAGAATACTGAAAGGTGTGATTATAAAAATTGAAAACTTGGCCAACTTTTACATTTCCAAAGCCAGTGATAAGACTTACAGGGTTTGAGCAGAGCGGCACCAACGATTGCGATAGTTCCAACAAATTGTAAGCCACACACCACAAAGAAATAATTAATACATAGTTATTGGAGCTTTCACTGTGGCTGGACGCCAATGTAGTCTTTACAATGTAATAACGCAATTTGTGCGTAAAATTTGATAAAATCTGCTAAGGTACAGATGTTGCACTGAGTACCGGGCATAACAAATAAAAGAATATAAATTACGGAAACGTTTATTGAATCCATCACTTTATTTGCATTGTTGAAAAAAAAGAAAGTTCGATATAATCGTTCAAATATCGTATGTCGGGAATCTAATTGGATACTTTGCTTCTTCAGTATTCTCCAGCGCATTTTGAGATCCGTTTAATGCTTCAGACGATATTCATAGCCACCGTTGGAGGCATAACGAGTCGCTGCGCCGGCGTGGCCATGTCCGTAGCTGCTGCTGCTGCTGCTGCTGCTGCCGCCCGACGAGTAGGACGATGAGTAACCACCAGTTCCATGACCCGAGCCAGTTGCATAGCGTGCCGGTGCCGAGTAGCTGACACGAGACACGGCTGGTGCGGCGTAGCTCTGACTCGATCCGTGTGAGGCGGCAGGCACGGAATAGCTTCTGTGGGACACAGACGGTGCGGAGTAGCTCTGATGGGACACGGACGGAGCGGAGTATGAGGAGCCAGCACTGCTGTAGCTACTGTGGGTGGCAGCTGGAGCCAAGTACTGCCTCGATGGAGCAGCCACTGGTGCGGAGAAGCTGGTATGAGAGGCGGCAGGCGCTGAGTAGCTGCTGTGGGACACAGCTGGAGCGGAGTAGCTCTGGTGTGACACAGCCGGAGCGGAGTAGCTGCTGTGGGAGACGGCTGGAGCGAGGTACTGCCTGGATGGAGCGGGCACAGGTGCGGAGTAGCTTCTGTGGGAGGCGGCAGGCGCTGAGTAGCTGCTGCTGTGGGACACGGCCGGTGCAGAGTAGCTGCGGCTGCTACTGCTATAGGAGGCCGGGGCCAAATAATGTCGTGACGGTGCCGCTGGAGACGCGTGCGATCGGATTGCATAGCTGGCCGAGGGTGCTGCATAGTGGCCACCGGCGGAGGAGCTCGATGCAGCCGAGTTGTAGGTGCTGTGGGCATTGGCCTGAGGCGGCAGGTAGCTGCTGCCCAAAGGACTGGCCATGGCCAGAGAGCTGACTGCTAGGAGCACAGCGGTGCAGGCCACGAAGGACTGCTGTCCAAGAACATATGGGATTGAGTCTTTGGCATGGAGAGATCTGTAAATCTGTTGGATACGTACCATGATGATTCAACTGATTTTTGGTTGGTTGGTTGGTTAGTTGGTTGGTTTGTTTGGGTGCTTCCCGTGATGTGGGAACCTTAACTGATGCCAATGGTGGCATGAGCCGACACTTTTATAGAGACACCGAACAAAAGGTGTGTGTGCGCCGGGTACAAATCTTAAATCGGCGCACAAACAAAAGACTCAAGGGGAAAAAGAGGCAAAAAGATGGATAGATAGAAAGATAGATTGAGACGCGAAGTGCGAGTACAAGTGGACGGCAACAAAATATTAGAACGAAACGAAATGTGGAAAAAACGGAATGGAATGGATCGGCGCTATGACAAGAGCAACGATGATTAGAGTTACGGTAGCTGGCCATTGTATGGATGGTTAGTCACACTGTTCAACAGGATTAGAGACTGATGAGGATATATGCACGTAAATGTAGCAACAACTAAATCAATGAAACACCAAAATGTGCATTTAATATTCGGGCCTTTAAGTGCAAATATACTTGGCATAATAAATAGAAATAGAAAAAAACATAAACAAATATATTAATGTTGCTTCTGTAAATGTGTATTATGTTCTGAAACATTTTGTTAGAGTTTCAAGTTCTGAACTCTCAGAACACGTTAGGTGTAGATTTTTAGGCAAAGTTTTGTTGCTCAGTGTTGTTGAAGAATGGGGTGATTAGATGGATGTCGTAGACTCTATTTATTCTGAGCGTTTATTTTTAACGATGTAGATTTCGGAAGTCACCGACAAGTGTAATTAATGATGCGTTTTATGTTTATGGCTGGCGAGAAGTTGAGAGTTCGCGAGAGAGAGAAAAAATACCCAAAAAATCAGCAGCAGCAGCAGCAGGGTTTGAGATTCCCGAGTTGGTAAAACGTGAAACAAGTAATCCAATCCAAAGCGATTCACAGAACTGACACTGGACATCCCGTGTCTAAAAGCGACGATTACTCACAAGACACATTAATTATAAAAAAACAAAACAAAACAAAAAACACTCTCGTATACGTATATGTAATGGCCTCTCCTTCTGCCTCCTCCCATCCAGGCAGTTCGTTCTCAAAAGCTAAAAGTTTATATCTTTTGCGTGAGCTTATATATGTATGATTAAAACAAAAGGCCAACGAAGAGAAGCAGCCAAAAAAAAAAAACTGGGAACTAACTAACAGCAAACAGTAAATCCAATCAAATAAAATTATAAAACAAGAAAGAAAGCGAATGGTTTCTGATCACAGCAGAAGCTACAAACACTCTGGATGAGATTCCATAAGAAATTGTATATTAAGATGCAGAAAAATATTATAAATTTGGCAGTTGGTTAGGAATCCATTTCTAAAGTGTCATCCAATGCCCATAGATTTAGAGAGAAAAGATATGGGTTCGAAAATGTTCTTTCTGCTGTAGAGGATCCCATTCAATTATTATTGAAAGTTTTTGGTATTTGTTCCCCACTGTAGAATCGACACAGAGAAATTTGCTTTTTGGCTTGGAGTTTTTGTATTAAAGAACATCGATTTATTGTGCATTTCTAGGGTCGATGGAGATCTACACCTTGGCCAAAGTCTTCTGCTGCAAATCCTTGGCATATGCCACAAACAGGATGTTGTGCTTGCTGGCTATGGGCTTGAGGCCGTTCTCCTCATCATGCCGCACATGCAAGCTCTCCGAACCAAGGTTAATGCTGCCAACTATCTGGCCCGGCTTAATGTAATAGTTCTGGCCCAATGTCGTCGGACGGTGTTCGGTGATGAACTGATATCTCATCGGCTCTGACTCCGACTCCTCCTCCACGATGATGAGCTTTGGTCTGACTGTGGTCGGAGCTGCTTCTGCTGCTGCTGCTGTTGCTGTGAGTGGGGATGCCAGCACTGGCAGCATCATCGTCGTCAGGCAGATGGAAAGTGCCACAAGGAATCCCATGGAATGCATCCTGCTCTTATGTAATGTGTAAATGTGCTCTTGTGTCTGCGGGCAAAGCCTCAATGCGGTTTGGTTTTCGGTCAACTGCATTCTTATATCCCAACATCCTCAGATGGCAGCAGCAGCAGCACTTAAATTCTGATGCACCAAGGAAGATCTCTCTCCCGCTCTCTGTCTCTCTCTCTCTCTCTCTTTCTCTCACTTGTTGGCTGTGTGCTTTTGTTCTGCATTTGGGTCTTCACTCACCCCCTTTCCCTTCAGTTTTCTTTGTATTTCTTACTTTTTGCATTGTCCGTTTTGGACAAAACAAGTTTTGGACATTAACCCGATTTCGATTTCGCACTAAGAGATGCTTTTTATACATAAATGAATGTGGGTAAGTACATATATGTATGTACATATGTATAATGCACACGCGATATCTCCATTCACAGCAAACGATGCAAATTTGCAGTTGAATAAGTACATATGTGTACATACATACTTACATATTTTTGTATGTATATGTATTAATGTGTGGTAGCACTTGCTTGACGACAAATATTCACAGGTTTTTGGTTCGCCTTTTTTGCGGGTTTGCTCTGTTGAGTTATTCGGTTCGATTTGTATAATTAATAAGTTGCTCTAATGGCAAATAAATGTTTGGGAAATCTTATTTATTGTTTTTATTTGCTATGTCTTCTTATGGATTTTTAATAAGTTAGTTTTTGCTTGAGGTCTTTATCGATGCATATTGATTGTTAACTCGACTGAGCAGAGAGAGAGAACCAACAGCAGAAGCAGAAGGGTGACCTGTAACGTCTTCATAACAACGGGACAAAGTCGAAAGAGAGGGCGAGAGTGCGAACAGAAGCTTCAAGAACGGTGCGCAGCCACCCACCTGCACCGACACACACACACACACCTAGCAGAGCTCAGCAGCGAGCCGTACAGCTGCACTGTGGGGAATTTGACCACTTTTTGTGGCAAAAATTAATAGCTTCCAAACGAAACAATAGTTAGAGCCCATTTTGAAAAATGTACCTTAATTTAACAACTTACCTCTTTTTTGCAATTTTAGCTTGATGAAACAAATTATTGCTCCTATAACAATTGTTGCTCCACTTTTTATGAAAGATATGGGTCTTAGCAATGGTCAAATGATAATTTTTTTGTTTCTATGGCAGCATTTTCTTTAAGAATTTTTAAAATCTGTTTTATAATTTAAAGTTTTTTAAAGAGGCAGCTGTTGGTTTATTCACATAGCTTTAGTATCTTAAATTAGGTTTTTTGTTTATCTGAAAAGCTGATTGGTGCAGCTAAAAAGAAGACCCAAACACTGTGGGTTTGGCGTACCATCTGGGAACTATTAAGCTTTGAAATGCATAATAATCCATAATTCATGAAATCATTTTAATGCCCATATCTATCAGAAAAAGTCGGTTTGATTCCTTGAGAAAAAAAATTTCAATGTAGTCTAGTAATGTAATTTTCGCTTTTTAATATCAAACAAATTATAAAAAAATTCATAAATTATTTTATCGACTATGGAAAATTGAGGTTTGGCCAGAAAAAGTGGTAAAATTCCCCACAGTGCAGCCTGCGATGCAGAAGCATCGTTTACAAGCAGCAAGCCGCACGAAGCAAAGAAGAGAGTGAAACTTCGACAGAAGTCCCGTTAATCCAAAAGCTGACTTCGAACGTAGAATATGTAATTCAAGTGGAAGCCAGCTCCCCTTCTCGCAGTATTTACACCCCTCTGCTGAATTTTCTTTAAGTGAAACGTTTAACAGTTAGATTACTTGATTTCGATATATTTAAAAAAAAAATGTGCTTTCATTATGCTTAGAGGGGTTTGGGGATTCAGTGTCGTTTAGTAGACATATCCACCGTTGGTGCCGTAGGTGGTGTCGATGCCAGAGTATCCGCTCACCACGGCTGGAGCGCGGTAGGTTGATACGGCAGGAGCCGAGTAGGTGGAAACGGCAGGGGCGGAGTACGTCTTCACCACAGCGGGGGCAGTGTAGGAGCTGACAGCTGGTGCGGAGTAGGTCTTCACCACAGCTGGGGCAGTGTAGGTGTTCGTGTAGGAGGTCACAGCAGGGGCAGAGTAAGTCTTGACCACAGCTGGTGCAGTATAAGTCTTTGTCACCACGGGAGCAGAGTAAGCCTTGGTCACCACTGGGGCGGTGTAGGAGGTGACAGCTGGTGCGGAGTAGGTCTGGACCACAGCTGGGGCAGTGTAGGAGGTCACAGCTGGCGCAGAGTAAGTCTTGACCACAGCTGGGGCAGTGTATGTGTTCGTGTAAGAAGTCACAGCTGGGGCGGAGTAGCTCTTGACCACAGCTGGGGCGGTGTAGGAGGTCACAGCAGGGGCAGAGTAAGTCTTGACCACAGCTGGTGCGGTGTAGGTGTTCGTGTAGGAGGTCACAGCAGGGGCGGAGTAGCTCTTCACCACAGCAGGGGCTGTGTAGGTCCTGGTCACCACGGGGGCGGAGTATGAGGCAGCAGCAACAGCGGCGGGCTGCGCGTAGGACTCCTCAGCGGTGGTCTCGGCAGCAGCGACATAAGACTCGCTGTTCTCGTTGGCAGCTGGAGCCGAGTACGACTCGCTGTTGTAGCTGGCGGCAGGAGCGGCATATGACTCGCTGTTGTAGGTGGCCGCCTGGGCTTCCGCTGGGGCGGAGTAGGACGACTCCGCGGCAAAGGAGGCGGACTCGGCGGGTGCCGACTGGTAGGACTCGTAGGTGGAGGAGGCAGCGCCCGAGTGGGGTGGCAGATAGGTGCTTGTCAGGTGGCTGACATCGGCCGAGGCCAGGGCCACGAGGGCGAGCGAGAGGATGGCGAAAAGTTGCTGGGAAAGACAGTTGCCGTTAGGACTCTGGATCGTTTAGCGGTAGGGGGGAGCAGGGAGCAGGGAGCTTACCATGTTGCTGGGACCAAAGACGGGTGAGTACTATCTGAATGTCACACATCTGAAGATATTTATAGGCAAAAATTTGCCATTCAACTTGATACACGAATGTCAAAAGGCGCTCAGGCCCGAGAACCAGAACAAATGCGAAAGGTTTTCAGAACACAAAACACCATAAACGATATCGCCTATAGACCGTCCATACATACAAACATATGGGGGGGACCTGTCCCATGGCTTCTTTGTAGTATACCAGTAAATAAAAAAATAATAATAAAAAGAAATAATAATAATGAAACATTTCGTCTGAATTAAGTTCCCATTCTCCATCACTGGCGATGACTCGCCGCCAAGCGCTCATTAGTCGCCCATAATATTCCAAATACTTTCCGAAATTCTGTCCCTCTGTTCCTCTTTTCTGCGTTGCTTCTTCACTGCTTCTCTTCAGCGAAGGGGGGGATGCGAAGACTCTGAAATTGTATAACTCGTTACTGGGCGACTCCCAACTGCCAAGTCCCCCCATTCATAATTCGACTATCCAAAAACCTGCGTCACATTGCTCATCTGGGGACCAGCCATCCATCTATCAAAAGAATATTGACCTGTGGCGAATAATTTTTCATTTTCAGGGAATCACCTTTGTGGCCATATCTCTTAAAGTCATTAAATCTCAAACCCATCAGCGAGCAGGGAGTACATATCCGTATGTAGCCTCCCCATTGGAATTTTAAAGCCAGGCAACACCGAACGTCGAGTCCTTACTACAAAACAAAAAGATGAACAAATTCCCATTCGAAAGTAGTTCTTCGCACCAATTTGGAGGTCTATTTGGTGAGTATTTCTCGCAGTTACTCAAATAGAATATCGAAATGTTTTTCGTTTTTATAATAATTTTTTTTTATTTCAAAACAGGTTGTACGTAGAAAAAAATGGAATTGTTTGCTACAACTAATTGGTGCTAGAAATTGGCTAAGTAACAATAAGTGACTCTGATGACACGATCAGCGTTTCGAGATGTGCTTCAAGGATCTCCGATCCACAACTCGATGCGAGTTCGGACACTGCATCTCTTTCTCAGTGCTTCTCGTAGACATAGCCGCCATTGGCTGCATATTCGGTGCCGATCTCATTCGAGATGGTGGAGGTAGTCGCCACCTGGGACAAGATGCTGCCAGTNGAAATATTCCTGTTTAAAGTGGAACAAATTGCAGAAGAACTTAGCTAAATTTTAATTTATTCTTCTATTTTAATGGCTACACTCTTTATTCGATTTGTCGGTAATGCAGTGGCAGACTTCTCCCTCTCTCCGCTCACGTCTCGTGCTCTCCTTTGCGATCAACCTTCGCGCATTTGCAATGGCCCATAAGTTACGTTTGTTTAGAGGGCCAGCCACTCCTCCTCCTCATCCTCATCCTCTTCCGATCTGAGATCATGATCTGGTGGCTGCCAATATTTTATGCATGCTGTCTTTCGTAGGCGTGTTTCTTGGTTAATACAATCATTATGGCTAAGTTCGTTAGGCGACACTCGCCTCAAACAAAACAGTCACGTAAATTAACTTGACAAACAAAAATTTAAGGAGAAGGGACGTGTGAGACGCTTCTTACGCGTCACAACTTTTATACCCGGCACTCAGTACTACATCTGCACCTTAGCGGTTATTTGTCAAATTTTACGTTTTTTCTTCATCTGTCATCTGCATAACAACACTACTCACGCCAACACGCTAGAGCCACACACTGCAGAATCAGGGCAGAGACGCGGCAAAGGCAGAGGCAGAGGCAGAGGCAGAGACGTGTCTGCGCGAAGCAGAGTGTGAATGAGAGAATGTGCAAAAAACAAATATAAGCTGCGGGACGGGGTGGGTTTAGCCACTGGAAATTAATTTATTCATTGTGGCTATAATAATGATCCAATCGGATCCCAATTTGGTGATATAATAGATATAGTCATTCCCTACGGAATGGCGTTTCTAGTTTTCTTTTATGTTCAAAACTGTAGATTTGGGAGGTTTTCGCCCTTTTGCGGGGGCGGAAGGGGGCGTGGCTCATTTTTGAAATACACTGGTTTCAGTGTGAGCATATAGCAGTCTGGATGCAAAATTTGGTGGCTCTTGCTCTTATAGTCTCTGAGAACTAGCCGACAAACAAGACGGACAGACCGACAGACGGACGGACGGACAGACGGACAGACTGACAGACAGACATGGCTCTATCGACTCGTCTATTGATGCTGATCAAGAATATATATACTTTATGGTGTCGGAAACGTTTCCTTCTGTGCGTTACATACAACCGTTATTCCCCACAAATACAGTAAACCCTATTTACTCTTCGAGTACCGGGTATAAAAACAAAGCCAAAGCCAAAGCGAAAATAGAAAATGTCAAATATCTTTTAAAGTCTTTAAAACTCAGACATTTCAGAGTGCAGGGAGTACATATCCGGATGTAGCCTCCCCATAGGAATTTGAAAGTCAGGCAACACCGAACGTCGAGTCCTTAACTACAAAACAAACGAGAAGGGACGTGTGAGACGCTTCTTACGCGTCAAAACTTTAACTCAGTACCGGCACTCAGTACTACATCTGCACCTTTCTTCATCTGTCTTCTGCCATCTACATCTACAACACTTCTCGCACCAACACGCTCCGTTAGCGCGCCCCCTTCCCTAGACCCACACACTGTAGACTCGCGCCAGGGGCAGTGGCCTCACACAGCAGAATCAGAGTTTGAATGAGAGAATGTGAAAAAAACAAATATAAGCTGTGAGACGGGGTGGGTCCAATCGGATCCCAATTCGGTGATCTGATAGATATGGTCATTCCCTACAAAATGGTGTTTTATATTTCTTTTATCTTCAAAATTGTAGATTAGGGAGGTTTTCGCCCTTTTGCGGGGGCGGAAGGGAGCGTGGCTCATTTTTGAAATACACTGGTTTCAGTGTGAGCATATAGCAGTCTGGATGCTAAATTTTGTGGCTCTAGCTTTTATGGTCTCTGAGATCCAGGCGCTCAACAAGACGGACGGACGGACGGACAGACGGACGGACAGACACACATGGCTCAATCGACTCGGCTATTGATGCTGATCATGAATATATATACTTTATGGGGTCGGAATCGTTTCCTTGTGTGCTTTACATACATTCACTTTGTGCACAATATTGTATTTACTATTTACCCTATTTACTCTTAGAATACCGGGTATAAAAAAGATGAACAAATTCCCATTCGAAAGAAGTTCTTCGCACCAATTTGGAGGTCTATTTGGTGAGTATTTCCTGCAGTTACTCAAATAAAATATCGTATTAAAAGTCTTCGAAATGTTTATCGTTTTTATAATAATTTTTTTTTATTGGAAAACAGGTTGTACGTAGAAAAAAAATTCTTAACAAACGATGTTGATTAACCACGATCTTTAACCGATTCATTGTTATTCACTGAGACTACTGTGCTAGTCGCAAAGCTCTACACGAAGTTCCTAGAGGCTAGGTGTTGAGCTACGCTCAAGCCTGTGACGTAGAGAAAGAGTCACGAAGAGCATCTGTATCGGCGGTAACCGACGTATAAGCCACGGCTAGAGTAACGAGATGGTGGAGGTAGTCGCCACCTGGGACAAGATGCTGCCAGTCTCAGTCTGTTGCACGATCGATGCTGGTGCATAGGAAACCTGCTGCTGCTGCTGCTGTTGCTGTTGCACTGGAGTGTATGTTGGAGCTTGTGGCGCATACTGAACAATTGGCTGAGACTGAATCTGGATCGGTGCTGGTGCTGGTGCTGGTGCTGGTAGAGCGGGCACAAACGATTGCTGGAACTGAACCGGAGCTGGAGCCGTGTAGCTGCTGGTTGTCTGCTGAACAATTGGAGCTGATGCTGGCGCCTGGTAGCTATAGCCGCTGTACTGCTGCTGCTGCTGCTGCTGCTGCTGCTGCTGCTGCTGAATCTGAACTGGCGCTGGTGCTGGAACTGAAACTGGAGCACTGATGCTAACAGTCTGCTGTACTGGCTCTGGGATCAGAGCAGGAGCAGAATAAGTTTGCTGAGCAGCAGATGCAGGAGCAGGAGCAGGAGCAGAGTAGGTCTGTTGGATCACAGGAGCAGGGGCTGTGTATGTCTGCTGAACTGGAGCTGGAGCTGGAGCTGGAGCGGTGTATGTCTGATGAACCACGGGAGCGGGTGCATTGTATGTCTGCTGAATTGGAGCTGGAGCTGGAGCTGGAGCTGAGTAAGTTTGCTGAACCACTGGCGCTGGAGCGGGGTATGAATAGGTCTGTTCCTGAACCACTGGCGCAGGGGCAATGTAGGTCTGCTGAGCCACTGGGGATGGAGCTTCGTATGTTTGCTCCTGCACCACTGGCGCTGGGGCAGTGTAAGTCTGTTGAACCACAGCAGCAGGAGCTGAATAAGTCTGCTGAACCACAGGAGCTGGAGCAGAGTAATTCTGCTGGACAATCGGAGCTGGAGCAGTGTAAGCCTGTTCCTGCACCACGGGTGCTGGAGCGGAGTATGTTTGTTCCTGCACCACTGGCGCTGGTGCGGATTAAGTCTGCTGAGCCACAGGTGCTGGTGCGGAGTATGTTTGTTCCTGCACCACTGGCGCTGGGGCAGTGTAAGTCTGTTGAACCACAGGTGCTGGTGCGGAGTATGTTTGTTCCTGCACCACTGGCGCTGGGGCAGTGTAAGTCTGTTGAACCACAGCAGCTGGAGCTGAATAAGTCTGCTGAACCACAGGAGCTGGAGCAGAGTAGGTCTGCTGGACAATCGGAGCTGGAGCAGTGTAAGTCTGTTCCTGCACCACGGGTGCTGGAGCGGAGTAAGTCTGTTCAACCACCGGAGCGGGAGCGGGAGCAACTACATTCTCGGGGGCATTGTATGTGGTCTGCTGCACTGTTGTCTCCACAACTGGCTCCGGTGAGGGCACAAACTGCTGGACAGGTGGCAGATAGGCATTCCGCACCGTGGTTTGGGTGGCAACAATTGGCTTGGGCGACTCATAGATCACCTGGGAAGCTGTCGCTGGGGCTGGTGCCTGCACTTTAACGGGAGCAGCTGCTGGAATGGAGACTTGAACGGGAGCAGGAGCAGCAACAGGAGAAGGAGCGGCAGATTGGTATTGTCCGCCCGACTGAATGGAGAAGCTGGCCAATGGAATAGATGCCTGAATGGACTCCACCTGGGGGAATGATTGGGTCTGCACTTGCACCTGATTCTGGTACTGATACTGGGGCTGGGGCTGGGGCTGGGATTGGATCTGAGGCTGGACCTGAGCAATCTGCTGGTAGTTTTGCGTAACGGAGATCTCCTTCTGTGGCAGCGGGGGTAGAAAGTTGCGGTTCGATTGAAGCAAATGACTCACATCAGGACGGGCCTGAACGAGGGCCAAGCTGCAGCAGCACACAGCCAGAACGAGAACGGAACAAGGGTTCTACAGAGAGAGAGAGAGGGGAAACCATGAACACTTGTCACAAGAAACAAACAAAAAGAATAGATGGAATTATGTCCACGCATGGCTTTTGGGATGGTCACTTACCATCTTTCACTTGGCTCACAAAAAAAATGCACAACGAGACGGAGGTAGAAGGATGGTACAAACTACACCAAACGAACGAGATCGATCAACTGATGGCCAGCTTGGTGCTCCAACGAGCATTTATAGTTACAGAGTTATTGGAATTTTTACTCTTAATTGGTTGGATGGTGTATGGTGGACAGATGACGCCTGTGGCAGGCAGTAAGGTCAAGGGGGGCACACGCGGCATGCTAATGCAGACGACCAATAATAAAAATCATGCAAAACACATTTAATTTTCGGTTTGCTGATTAATAAATGACCAAAACGCACGATGCCAACAATGGCACAATGCCTCCCATGGCTCAATGGCCAGTGGACTAGGTGGACTAGCTGGACTAGGAGCCTAATCCCCAGTTGATAACACACCCGCAAAGACAGAGACAGAGACAGCGACAGAGACAGCAGCGGAGGCGGAAAACAAGTTGTCGCAAAAAAGAAAAAAGAGAAAATATTTGTTTAAATATTTATCAGGCAAAACCAAAGCAGGAGGCACATCTGTTCAGCTGTTTGTCTATGCATCTGGCATCTGGCCTGGCCAATTGACACCTAAAATGGGTTTGGATGGCTGCAGAGCCAAGTGCAATGACTTGAAGTTGCATGGCAGACGCACAGGGAAGGAGATGCACCCACGAGATCTAATGCAAAGAATGATAGTACGAAAAGGGATAATCTAGGATGGATACCAAGTACATTTATGCTGACAGGCAGGGTTTCCTTGGCAAGTTTCGATGGGAAATATTCCTGTTTAAAGTGGAACAAATTGCAGAAGAACTTAGCTAAATTTTAATTTATTCTTCTATTTTAATGGCTACACTCTTTATTCGATTTGTCGGTAATGCAGTGGCAGACTTCTCCCTCTCTCCGCTCACGTCTCGTGCTCTCCTTTGCGATCAACCTTCGCGCATTTGCAATGGCCCATAAGTTACGTTTGTTTAGAGGGCCAGCCACTCCTCCTCCTCATCCTCATCCTCATCCTCTTCCGATCTGAGATCATGATCTGGTGGCTGCCAATATTTTATGCATGCTGTCTTTCGTAGGCGTGTTTCTTGGTTAATACAATCATTATGGCTAAGTTCGTTAGGCGACACTCGCCTCAAACAAAACAGTCACGTAAATTAACTTGACAAACAAACATTTAAAAATTAAAAACAAAGCCAAAGAAAATGTCAAGTTGAAGAGCCCCTGGCCAAGCATCGCGTTCACAGTTTGGGCTTAATTATGACTAATGGCTGTGAAAATAGCCTCCAATTTCATATTCATTTGAAGAAACACCATCCAATGTTCCATCCACCATCTGTCATTTTCCGTCTACCATCTTCCGTATCTTTATCTACCATCTGCCCAGGCAGAGGGTCTGTCTGCAGTCTGGTACAAATACAAATCCAAGTCCTATCAGCTGCATAAATATTCAAAAATCAGAGGCATACGAAAAATAATTGCAACAATCTAACGAATTGAATTGAATGGCTAAACAATGGAGCTGTGAAAAAGTGGCAATCTGAAAATGATTTGAATAAAGCGACTGGCACAACAACAACAAATTGCTAAGCGAAATCCGAGACGACCCCACAGCGAAGAACTGGAGATGGCACTAGGCACTGGGCAGTGGGCAGTGGGTGGGAATGGATCAAATGGTAAGGAGCCACTCTCCACTTAGATGTGGGCATGAGCGAGGCTGTATGCCTAGTATTCGCTGGTAAATCCATAAAAATCAGTAAAATCTTGCACAAAAACAAAACAAAACATCGCAACAACAAATAAATGAATAAATAATTCATCAAGTTGAATAGAAATGAATAAAGTCGCTAATGTTGGTGCCTAAAACGAGTCTTTTGATTACAATTGATACAAATCTTTGAATGGAAATAGCCAGACCAGGCCCATAAAGGGCAAATATGAATACATTTTGGAATACAAAGATGAAACATATGCCTTAAGTAGCATGGAAAGTATTGCTCAATTTATACATATAAATGAGTGCCAATAATCTGTATACTTTAATTAGTAGAGTTCTGTCGTGGAAACGTTTTTTAAAATAATTATTACTGATAATCCCAATTGGCTGACCAATTGACAAAATAAGTTATGGGCACATCCTCATTTTCCTTGGGCATCTACGAGTGAGTATCTTCTCTTTGTTATTTGCGATCCTCGAGTGGATTATATGCCGAAAGAAGCAGAGTCCTTGCCACCTACTCATTCGACTCCTTTTGGCGCAACTTTTATCGTAAATTATGTATGCGATTGACGTGTTTGATGATTTGATTTCAAATTTAAATTGATTCCATTCAGAGGTGGACTGGACAGCGACATGTTGTCTCCTCATTTATGGTTGTCCGTCAGCGTCAAAAACCTCCCAGCCATTAGCATAAAGACAAACCATGCTGTCTGTCCAAATACAAACAAAATACAATAAACAAAATCATAAATCAAAAAACAAAAAAAAACTTGTGAATAATAATTTATAATGAACTTGTCGACTGTCTCTGTCTCTGCCCACGTCTCTGCCTCGAGCCACTCGCATGGGCCTATAAAACCCTCACAACAAAATCATATGGCCCGCTGATAGACATAGCCGCCGTTTGTGCCATAGATGGTGTCCACGCTTTGGGGCGGCTCTGTGCTTGGCAGCTGCTGCTCCTCCTTCTCTTTGACCTTCTCCGGCTCTGCTTGCTGCTGCTGCTGCTCCTCCGGCTCGTCAGCGTAGGCTCCAAACTGCTGAAACGGATTACCGCCCTGTGGCTGTATCTGTGGTCCACCAAAGCCGTTGGGCACATTGAAACCCGCATTAAAACTTTGCTGAAAAGGCGACTGGGAGCCAGGTATAGGCAGGCCTTGGTTCGTCAGGTAATCGGGTGGGAAGGGCCCACCGCCCTGCCCGGGAAAGGGTGAGCCTTGTCCCTGTCCGGGGAAAGGACCTTGCTGTCCGGGAAAGGGCGAGCCTAGTCCCTGTCCGGGGAAGGGTAAGCCTTGTCCATGTCCGGGGAATGGAAAACCTTGTCCGGGAAAGGGAGGGCCTCCTGGTCCGGGGAATGGAGGGCCTCCTTGTCCGGGGAATGGAGGGCCTCCTTGTCCGGGAAAGGCTGAGCCTCCCTGTCCTGGAAATGGTGCACCTTGAGGAGGGAATTGGCCACCCTGTCCTAGAAATTGTGCACCCTGTGGTTGGAACGGACTGGAACCCTGACCGGTGAAAGGGAATGAGCCGCCACCCTGTCCGTTATTGGGGAACGGACCACCCTGTCCGCCCTGTGGGAAGGCTGTCCCTGGTGGCGGCTGTTGTATGGCCGCATTCGGTGGACCGCTGCCAAAGGGACTTCCGTTGGGATCTCCGCCAAAGCCAAAGTACGGCGGATAGATGGGCAGCGGGAAGTTGGGTGGCTGGGCGGGCGGTGGCGGTACATTGTTGCCCGTGGGCACCGCATAGCCCGGCGGCAGAGGCAGGCCCACGCTTGGATAGAAGCCATTCGAAGAGTCATTTGAATGTCCCTCGGTACCGGCATCGGCATCGGCATCGTGCTTGGGTTTCGGTTCGTGTTCGATTGGCAAGTCCTGATGATCCAGAGATGTTTGTGATTGAGGTTGAGGCAGCTCCTCTGGCTTGGGCGGAATGTAGTCCTTGGGCAGATGACTCACATCGCATCTGCTGAGCAACGGCAGGAGCGTCAGTGCCAGGATAAGTGGCCACAGCTGCATCTTCGACTTCGACTTCGACTTCGACGTGGACTGTGCGGCCTCGGCCTGCTTCGTTTCCACTTATAAGCCACATTTTTGGGCTTACATAAACTCCACGCCATCTCCATCTCCGCTCCGTTCCGGCTTCGTTTTGGGGTTCATTTCACTTTCCATTTCGCGAACCGAAACGGAAATTGCTTTGCATCACAATGAAAAAAAAAGGTTCCATAAATAGTATACCCCATGGATGGTGCTGGACTAAACTATAAAAATTAATTAGTCAGGCAGACTTTACACAAAATAAAATCGAATCAAATAAAATAAACGAAAAGCCGCTTGACTTCAACGAATGGCTCAAAAGCAAATCGATGTTTACATAAATCTCTGGAATAGATTCAAGAAAAGAAATAATTTCTTTGGATCTTAAAAAAAGGCGAATTATTTGGCAAGGGAGCCCGAAAGCTTTGCAAGGAAGCACGAAAGCTTTACAAGAAAAAGGAGTCTTAAAAGCACTTTAATTTCCACAAGAATAATTGCAGATTAATTTTATAACAGCAGCTTTAATGGGACAACACAGAAAGTACAGTCAAATGTATGAAACAAAAACAAATTCTAAGCATAAAGAGAGCTTCAGAGCTTCAGCCGTGTACCGTTGTATTTTAGTTAAACTTTAAGCCTGATAAAGCGCAAGCTTAATATTAGTTTTGATGTTGATTAAACCCCAAAGCACCTCCAATACGAGCCATACAAAGCTCGCTTTTTACACACCCTTCTCGCAAGCTGGCGCAAAGCGTGTATGCTTTAAACAACCCTCAAAAGCTGAGCAAAGCTCCTAAGCTTAACGACATATGTAGCTTAACAGCAGATGCAAAAGCTCACGTTTTAACGTGATCCACAACCAAAATCCCCAACTCAAAACTCTTCAATCATTGACCAAACTTGTTGTTTTCAAAACTTTTTCGTTTAATTTGTTACAAAAAAAAATAAGATAAATGTAAAAACAGAAATACACACAGAGAAAAAATAGTTATTTACATTGGATCAGTTGTTGCTTCTCAGCTTCTTACTTCCTGTAGACATAGCCACCATTGGAGGCATACTGGGTGCCCACATCCACGCTGGAGGATGGGGCAGAGTAGCGCACAGATGGGGCAGAGTACGACTGCTGGTAGGCCGGTGCGGAGTACGACTGCTGGTAGGCCGGTGCGGAGTACGACTGCTGGACAGCTGGAGCGGAGTAGCTCACGGATGGAGCAGCGTATGTCTGCTGGACAGCTGGAGCGGAGTAGCTCACAGATGGAGCAGCGTATGTCTGCTGGACAGCTGGAGCGGAGTAGCTCACAGATGGAGCAGAGTAGGTCCTCTGGACAGCTGGTGCGGAATAGGTCTGCTGCTGCACGGGTGGCAGATACTCATTGCTGGGCGCAACATAGCTCTGCTGGATGGCTGGTGCGGAGTACGTCTGCTGCTGGTAGGACGGAGCCGAGTAGGTCTGCTGCTGGTAGGACGGAGCCGAGTAGGTCTGCTGCTGGTAGGACGGAGCGGAGTAGCTCACCGATGGGGCCGTGTACTGAACCGTGTTCTGAACGGGTGGCAGATACTCGTTGGTGGGTGGCAGATACTGGCTCAGGTGGCTGACATCGGCGGCCGCGCAGGCGAACAGGGCGAACACAATGAGGAATTTCTGCAAGAAGGAGGAGGTAAGGGACACACACAAGGCGCACATTAAAACACACACAAAGCACTTGCAAAAAAATGGAATAGGAAAAAAAATAATTATAGATAATAGCCGAGAGCGAAAACAAATAGTTTTTTGTTTGTTTTGTTGATATTTGTGTGCTAAGAGCAGGAGGCACTAACCATGTTTGGGTTATGGCTGAGTGACTGACTGACTGAGTGACAAGGGGCGACTGTGCTGGACGAGCTTGAGGCTGAGACTGATGCCGGTCCCTAGAGCCGACTGTCAATTTATAGGCAGAAGAGTCCAAGAAAAGCCCCTCCAGCCACAGCCACAGCCGCAGCCGCAGCACCAGAGGTAGACTTGCAGCGAAGGCAGCAGCAGCCAAAGAAGCGAAGGGGCAGTCGCTGCCACAGATACATTTCAAAGGCAAAACTCTCAGTGAAGAAGAGATGTAGGGAAAAATAGCAACAAACAAAAGTGAAATATATATTTTATTTAACATAAACCAAATTAAGAAAATAAGCAAAAAAAAAAGCAGCACTCACACACGCACACACACACACACACACACACGCGTAAACGAGTTTAACTCATTTACAATATTTTTCCGCAACGGGTTTCAGGCACGGGCAACAGAGCAGCCATCAGGGCAACAGGCAACAGAGGCCATGGGTAACGGGTAAGGGGTAACTCTTATGAACTACTTTGGGACACCTTTTGGGTAGGGGTGTGGGTCCGAGTCTTGAATCAAGCCGATTAGCAGGAGGGAACGAGCTTTGGGTTTGTTTTTTTTAGTTTTAGTTTTATTTTGGGGGTTTTTTTTAAGTTTTGCTTGTGTGTTTGTCTCGGTTGTGGGTTCCACTAATTAACATTCAATTTAACACTTAATGGGCACATGTAGTCCCAACCTTTGGGGTTGACCGCACAAAATGGGGCTACGGCGACTGCGGCCCAGCATGAACCTGGCCCGACCGCTGTGGAAAGATTCATCCGAATGGCCTTGCCCTGCAGCCAGATTGATTGCATCCAAGAACGAGGGAGGGGGGATGGAATGGAATCCTCTGCTCAGAGCGAGCACTTTCTAAAAAGCCATCAAGAAGACGCTCCCAACCGAACCGCTGAACCGTGGATGGCCTTGGGAATGCCTTAGAGTTACGAGCGGCATGGCGAGCTTTACATAATAATCATGACCAATACCGGTATGGCTCCCAGTCAGCAGGGACAACCAGGCAGCCAGCCGGGCAGTCGGGCAGATCAACTTTTACTTTGGCCACCGCCACCGCGTCAGCACCATGCAGAGATCTCTGTGTTGTGTTTGTGTTTCTGTGCCCATGAACTTGAAATCGAACCGGCACTCCGGATGGATGGGGGAGGCATTACATGGACAGCATATTGCATGGGTTTTTGGGTTTTTGCATTGATGCGTGAGGGAGCGAGGGCTGCTGAGAGAGCGGTAACTGTAGAATCACGAAGATCAGGTTAATGATGAGATCACACGGCCACAGGGACAGCAGGGAGACAGTGGCAAAGGTGGAAACTCTGTTCTGTGAGTAATGTGATCTGTGAACAGATTTCGAAACAAAAATATCATTTGGTGGGGGGGGGGGGGATTTGTAGGTAGTGAATCACGAATAAATTATTTCATTGAAGTCGGTGAGGAAATGTCTCGCACAAGTCAAGAGAACTACCAGCAAAGGATTAGGGAGTGTGTTTTACATTTGGCATTTGGCAGATTGAAAATATTTATAAATAAATATTCAAGGCGAAAATGCCACTGACACCCACCGTGTTACGGTAAATGCTCTCTCAGCACTGTAGCAGCACAATAACTCGCTCTCTCAGCATTGCAGCAACGGCAAAGCTCGCTCTCAGACAATTTTCTACCTGCGACATGCACTAACCCTTAATTTGTGCAGCGGAACACGATCGTACACGCACGAATACGTGCGCTCTCATTATTTCGCACACATTGCGCAAACACTCTCTCTCTCTCTCTGTCTGACGAATCAGACAGACGAGAAGAACAACTGTAAATCGATCATGGCGATGGTGCCAGAGAAACACATAAGCAACAAAGCAACATACAGATGCACTGATTCATCCGATAACCTTGGTAACCTCCACCAAAAGTAGCCGAAGCATCGTTGCAGCTCCACGGTTTAATGATGAGAATTGTTTATTTGTTTTCGAAAGGAATGCTTAAAGGTTAAAGACTTAAAGGCCTAGTAGACATAGCCGCCGTTGGTTGCATACTGAGTGTCATGGCCAGACGAGGAAGCAGCCGAGGAGGCGGACGCAGAGGAGTACGCGGAGGAGGAGGAGGCAACGGATGTGTAGCTGGGGGCTGCGACCTGCAGATGGGTGGGCGTGACTGTGTTGCCACCAATGGCCACGGGCACATGGGTTCCGGCATTGAACTCCTCGATGCCATTCGATACGGGCTCCTGGTACAGCTGGGCAGGTGCGGCAATCTCGCTAACGATGGACTGCCCATAGCCATTGCTTACGGTCTGCTCACGGAAGGGCGCCACCAGCTGCTTGCTGCTGCTGACAGCCTCTCCCTGGACATTGGCATACACGACAGACTGACGAACTGGCGCCACAAGCTGTTTGCTGATCACCGCCTGACCTTGAACGTAGGCGGGAATCAGATCAGCGGCCTGATAGCTGACGGCAGCCACTGCAGCGGGTGCCTGCAGCGCCTTGGTTAGTGTCTGGGTGTAGCTGTACTGGACAGCGGGTGCAGCAACGGTCTGGTAGGAGCTCTCCTCACTTCCGGGTGCAACTTGAGCAGCCGCCACAGGCGCCACCAGAGCAACCTTTAGCTGAGCGGGTGTGTACTCCGCCGGCTGGTAAGAGCTGGAATCTCCACCGGAAATGACAGTCTCCCCCTGCTGCTGCTGCTGGACATACTGATAGTGAGCCTGACGATCAGCCTCTGGAATGAACTGCTCGGGTGTGTAGCTGTCGGCACCAATGCTGGGTGTAGCCTCCACCTCCACCTGAGCTGAGGCAACCTTCAGATGCGCGGGTGTGTACTCCGCGGGCTGGTAGGAGCTGGAATCTCCACCGGGAATGACAGTTTCCTCCTGCTGCTGCTGCTGCTGCTGCTGCTGCTGCTGTTCCTGGACATACTTGTAGTGAGCCTCGCGATCAGCCTCTGGAATGAACTGCTCGGGGGCATAGCTGCTGGAGTCGCCGCCAAGGACTTGTTGTGCGCCTGATGATTGCACCTGCAGATGAGCGGACTGGTACGAGCTCGAGTCTCCGCCAGGAATCACCTCGGCAGACTGGGTCTCAATGGAGGCTACTTTGAGATGGGCCGGAGTATACTCCGCGGGCTGGTACGAGCTCGAGTCGCCTCCAGGGATGACTTCGCTCTCCCCCTGAATGGCGGCTACCTTCAACTGGCCTGAAGCGTGTTCTGCGCTCTGATAGGAGCTCGAATCTCCACCGGTAATCGCCTGGGAGGATTGCGCCTGAATAGTGGCTACTTTGAGGTGGCCAGGGATCAGTTCATCAGGCTGATAGCTGCTGGCATCTCCGCCCGGCACCACCGAACCGGACGAGTACGATGATGATGAGGAGGTCAGTCCATAGGCGCCATCTGCGGCAAGACCCAGCTTGAGGTGACTGACATCAGCCGCCACGACGGACACAAAAGCCAGAGCAATGACGTAAAATATTTGCTGAAAGAAAGCGAGAGGAGAATTAGGAGCTACTTCCAATAGGCCACAGTCCGCCGGTGATTCCCCCAATGCCATGGATAGAACCGAAACTTACCATGTTTGGTCTGAATCTGTTAATGTCGAGATGGGCGTTTCAGGTTTTTATACCCCGGACAAAAGAGGATTAGGGTCTATGCTAATTGGAGTTTTGTTTTGATTTCCGCACGTTTCATTTTTCCATCTTCTATGTTTCTGTTTTCTGTCTTCCCATATTTTATTTTCTTGGTTGTTTTTTTTTTCTAAAATTTTTTTTAATGTGAATTTGCATAGCTAACATTCGTAGAGATTCTCTCGCAGATATCCGCAGAGATGTGATCTTATCCAGTCGTTGCCAACTCGAAATTGATTAGAACCTCGCCAGCTGCGTTTGGCCTTTCCATCAATTAAACATTGGCCTGTCCCTGCCCCTGCCCCTGCCCCAGCCCCAGCTATTGATAGCTCCCCTAATAAGTCGCTAAATGGAGTCGCTGTTTAGCGCCTGGCAAGTTCAGCCGGGTGTCATAATCGGCTTGCATCGCCGGCAGCCGGGCAGCCCAACCAGTTCCACGCACGCACTGACTGTCCATTGTCTGTCCGCTAATTGGGGCCCCAAGCTCCATCAATCGATCGATGGTTGGAAGCACATTGTGATGCTGCCCATTAGGCAGCCGATTGCTCAATCAAAATATGATTTCTATTCTATTATACCTGTTCGTTTTTATCTTCTAATTATGCATTTAATTGTGCTCCATGCGGAGTGTAACCCCGTTTCATACCCCTTGTTCTAGTGGAAGATTTAATGGAGAAAAAAACCATTTTCTTCCCCAACTTTTTAACTGCCTAAACGAGGGCAAGTTTCGATCCCCTGCCATAAAATTGTCTGCTTTCATCATTACTCATATTCCCCATCATCTGGCACATCTTGCGGGGTATTTTGATGGCTGTTTTAATGCTCGTGTCCGAATATTCTCAGCTAGATATCGCGGGCTCCTAGCATAACGATCCACAACGATCGTTGAACTGGGCGGCGGCCCAAACTTGTTTATGCCCCAAAATCGCTTCTTTTTTGTTAAGATTTTTATTGATTTGTTTTGCTCTTCAGATTCAAACACTAACATTTGGTTGTATATGTTTTAATTATGTTAAATTGGAGACATTATTAAAATTAATTAATTAATCATTAAATATACATTTATTTTTCTGTATTTTTATTGTATCAAAATTTGTGTAAATTCGAAGAGAAAATTTGTTGCGAATGTTCTGGCAAACTGGTAACTTTGTTACCCATTTCTTTGGCTTAAATATTCTATTCATATTTATATGTACGATTATTTGTGTTTATGTTTTGATCAGCCATCGATATCATCGCCTCTCTCTACATGACGTCAAGCTCCACTATTACCTCATAAATATGCAATTTGGGTTGTATTTTTAGCGCCTGCCCAATCAACATTCTCATGCAAATCGCATGGTTCTAGAAAGAGTTGGGGACACTGTCTGGTCTCTCAGAGAGAAATAGTCTGAATCACCATGAGTGGCAAAAGGTGGTGGTTCTTCAGTGGTTCTTCACAAACTGGTTTCCCCCAATGAACTTTTGGGCCTGCCATTAGATAGTGTATATCCGATTGCTAATGCCTTCGTGTCTCGCGCCTTAATTACACTATCAAAAGTTATGCTTTGTGTGTTGTAATTAAAGATAAAACACCGAAGAAAAACAGGCAACAAATTCAGACAACATCCAGTTTCGTTTGGGGAGTCTGTTTAGGGATGTGCTGAATTTATTTATTAGATTTATGTACAATAAATTTCGAACAAATCAGGTTGGACCACATAAGATTTATAATTCTGTTGCGGACCGGTAATATAAATATAAATATATGTGTGTGCCCCTCGCTGTTATTGTCAAACAATAGATCAAGTTTATATATACATATGGATTTTTTTCGTCAGTCAAACTTGTGGCTGATTTACAGGAACTCATTTTAGGCAGAGATTCTTTCAATTATATTTGCTTACTGTGGCAAAGAGACCTACACACATTTGGGGGGCAAATGTTTGCTTGAGGTCGCCTCAGCTGAGCGTAAAACAATTGCGGAACAAGGCGACAAACGCGACAAATTGTTTGGGCCAACAACAGTCACAGGCACAGGCACAGCCACAGCCACATCCATGTGTCATGTGCAAAAAATGATTTCTCAGTGGCTGGCTTTGTCTGGCTGCATGTTCGTGTGCAATGGACCAACTACGAGTATTTGCCAAGTATTTTGGCCACGTCTTGGCCTGAACCAAAGCCCCGAAAACCAAAAGAAAAAAAAAACCGAGCCGAACCACCGCTGATTGTTTGCCTTAAAAAAACAAAAACAAAAACAAAAACAAAAACAAAAACAAAAACAAACCATAAATAAGACAAGTGCCGGCCCGGCGCCGAGGCACTTGAATAACATTTGTCAAGTTGCAGTAGTGCAGTGTTTAACATTTTGCAAACCAAAAAATCTTCTTTGCAAATCTTTGCAAAAGTGATGAATGCCGTGGACGCTGTGGCAACTTGTCGGCTGAGCTGCCAGCTGTCGGAGCTGCAAGCCTTGGTGGGTGTGGATAGCTCTGGAGCCGGAGAACAGCTATTGATTGTAGCCATACAGCACTTTCGATGGATTAGCTCATAGAATAAATATTAGACTTACAACTGGTGGCATGTACTTGCCACAAAGAGAGCTGCATGCTGCCTGTTCAGTTAGCCAATTTCCAGCTACCGATTTGGTACTTCTTTCATTACGACATTTAAATTCGGAATAAGTTCATCTCTAGCCAGAGTTTTATGCGGCATCGTTGTGTTCCCAATGGCCGCTATTTACTGATCACAGCTTTGTGACATTATGGCAAATATATGCTTGGCTCTCGGTTGCTAGAACAGCATCGAGTGCATCGAGTGCATTTATTTGTATTTCAAATTCCAGCTGAGAATTGCCAGAGGGGCAAACAAAAATTCAAGGCTCAGACATCATAAGAGTAGACCCAAGGGGTAGACCTTTCAGTAGATTCAAAATCTGTAATCCGTTTGTTCCAATTCATTTTTGTGTCCAAACCTGAAACCGAAAGTCAGGGCATTGCAGGGCAGGGGTCGGCCCGGTTATTTCTATGTATTTTCCATCATTATTGTTAATTCGTCAAAAACGACCTGAAATCAATCTAGGCGAAGGTTTCTCTCTATCGGTTTGGATGCGCTCAGCGTGCGCCTGTGTTTGTCTATCTTTTGGATTACTCGGCAAATAATTACGAGTAAGTAGCTCGAGTGGCAAATGGCATGGAATTGGGACCCTGACCTTCCCTTACTCCACGAAACGTGCCAAAGTGCTGCACGGCTCGAAGTGGTATTAAAAATGTAATCAAAGTCCATAAAAGTGAAGGGCAACGGAAGGACACGAGCACGAACACGCATTCGCACACTGGGACTTGGCCAAAGAGATGGCAAATCAAAGCTACCTTACAATAGACAAAGAAAATTCCTTTGGCCCAGGCACTTTATCTAAATCTTTGCTGCCATCATCCGGCATGACATCTGCCATAAATTGAATCGCTTGTGCGGGGGAAATCTCTGCTTAAACCAAAAACAAAACTAGTTTTGATGAACTCCAGCGGCAGCCCCAGTCCATGGGCTGATGGATGGTAAAAACAACTTTTTTCCATCTACTTTTTTTTAGCTGATCGCGTAATTTGCTCGGCAATTACAAAATCAAGTTTTTCCCCTCAACCAGATGATAGTTTCGATTACTTCGACACTTGTTCGGCTGGCTGACTGGCTGGCTGGCTGGCTGGGCTGGACAGGCATTAAGATCGATGCGGGATCCCACTCTGATTGGCATAATTAGTGGCATTTTAGCTGTCATCGCTGATTGTGCCGCACAAATGTCATGCAATTTGTCAATTGATTTAACGATCGAGCATCGAGCAGCACTCTCTGCCGAGTGACCAGCACAACTGGGTGTGACCAATCGATAGTAAGTAAAGCTTCAAAGTGGTTCAAACTTGTATCCGAGACAAACTTTTATTCCGTCCATAAAATTATGTAAATTTTGAATTGGTTATGCGACTTTTTTCGGGGATTTTTCTGGTAGAACTTTTTTTTTTTTAGGTTTTAATTCATGCATATTGACGTAAAATATTGAACTAACAAAAATTCCTTTGGCTATTAATATCATATTTTAGCATTTTAACAATTTAAGCAGTAATATTTCTCCATTTACTTTTGCAGCGTTTCAGCACTGACTTTGGCAACAAACTACTCTCCATAGAGTATTCATTATTCGCTGGAGATTCTTTGTTTTTTTTTGTTCACACACTTGAGCAGTTTTTGTGTTGTTTTTTGTTTAGTTTTTTTTTTTTGGGTATTTACTTTTATGATTTATGAGTGCCTTAGTTGGGGGTCAGGGGGGAATCCCACTGACGTTGCCAGCGTGTTGCATGTTCTGCGCTGTGATTAGCATCCATTTTGCCATAATTAAATAATTTTGCGTTGCGCTGGCGTTGATCATTGATTTGTGTGGGTTTTGAGTTATTTTTAAAAGAAGAAATTCTTGGAAAAAGAACCAGACGGGAAATGACTGATTAATTGGTACCGGAAACAAATTAAAACAAATCAAGTGATAGCGAATTACATGTCTAAATAAACAAAATATATTTTAAATTTTGTTTAATTTTCCAGCGCCACCGCCCCAAAAGCAGGCAACATTTTGGTTGCCCTCCCGCAGTGTAGGCAACATCTTTTGATGTTCACATTTTGCAATGAAACCTACTCCAAGACATGTTCCCTACTGTCTATAAATGTGCCATAAGAAATTGATATTTATGCTGGTGTCCTTCTTTCATTTCTTAGCCCTTGGCCAGGACCACCACACAGGTTCCAATTAGGACAAGTAGCTGAGGTAGTAAAATAAAAATATTGTTGCCTACTTGCAGGAGGGGCCATTAAAAATTAAGAAAAATATCAAAGAAAATAAACTATCTGTGGGCTGGGCTGGCTGGCTGAAAGAGGGGAGCAGCGGATCGAGAATGCTGTGGGTGTGTGGGCGGATTGCATAAGTAAAAAGACA